GGCTTAGCCGACTGTTTACTAGTAAATGAGCAGTGCTTGTGCAATTCTTACATTCCAGATCATGGTTTCTTAAAGTGGGAGTTAGTAAAAGAAAATGTTTGGATTTTCCCATTGTTGCTGCAACTTCAAAGATTGGTAGATTGTAAAGAGGTTCATAACATTCGCAAAATCACTTTTTGAAAGAATTATAAGTCAACCTTTTACTTTGAGTAGAACTTTGAAAACCATCCCATACAGCTAAACACTGTAAATATGAATTTCTCGTCTGATAAAGAGATCTAGTGGAAAAGCGATATATTTATTATTTCTAAAATCATAATCTCCAGCGAAGTTTGGGCTTATGTGAAGGGCCAGACCCGTTGATCATTTCTTTAACAAAATTCTTAACACTCATTGGCAGTTAGCAGGTTTACAATGGTCTACATGGCAAAAAGTCACATAGATCACTGTGTACTGCTCTGTTGTGAGCTATATATCAATCTTACCACTGTGCAGTCAAACTTTTTTGAAATCATGGTATTTGCGCTTTGAGCACTATCAAAGTACTCCTGAATAAGATGAAAAGGGCGAGCTCATTTGCCTGCTTCCAATTCGAGGATTATGGAAATTAAATCACTTCTGCTCCTTTCCCCCTCTTATAAGCAGTCTCAAGGTTCTTATTTGACAGATTTTGCATGCGAAACAATGGTCCACATGTATGTATCTTGGCAATATGACAGCAGAAAGTTCCGAGTTTTGTACGCGCTAACATCTCTTCTTTATACTGAAGTTTACTGGATATTGGGTTGGTGCAAAAATAGTGTCCGTTTTTCCAAACATATTTTTCGAACAAGTTTTTCCCAACAAACTTTCTTTTCCGATACAGATTTTGCACATCATTGGAAAGCTTTCTTCATGTACTTTCTGAAGGTAGTATAATTAGGCTTCTATCCTCATCTGTGTTTCACTTTCTTGGCCACAATTCGGGCGCAGATGAACGAAGAAACATGGCTGCTGTATATGTTGACTATTATTCAGCTATCGCATGCATGAGTATATTTTTCAAAAATCTCTGAGCTAAAAAATGTCGCCCCAAAATAGATCTTCGCCAACGGCTTTTTATGGGTCAAAAATTTCTCATGATCAAGGCAATCGTTGAAGTTTCGCTCATTTCTGTGTGCTTAAAGGCAGCGGCCAGGCAGAATTTCGTTTTCCAGTTCTTCGGCTTTTCGGATCCTTCTCGCCATGAGGAACCCATATCTGGGCTTTTGAGCGTTGAAAATGGCAAAAATGCGCTTTTTCTGATACTTTCTAAGTCCGCATCCAGTGAAGATACGCCGGAAAAACCAGCGGCCCGCCTTTTTCGTTCCAAGCCCCCCCCCCCCTCCACTTCGGCATTAAAGCTGACCTGGAAAGCTTTGGAAAAAGCGCATTTTTGCCATTTTCAAGCGCTAAAAAGCCCAGATATGGGTTTCTCATGGCGAGAAGGCTCCGAAAACGTGAAGAACTGAAAAACGAAATTCTGTCGGGCTGCTGCCTTTAAGATTGGGATGTCCTATCTACAATTTTTGCAGGAAAACTTGGCTTGCCAAAAAATTTCAAATGTTCATAATCTGGGAATTTCAGCCTACCACAAATAGGCTCAAAAAAGTGAACAAATTTGGATTTTTGTCTTTTCTTTTAGCAGAACGCTTTCGTCGTAGTCTTTAGTCTTTTCTTCAAAAACGTATACTACTGGCTTGCTCCTACGAAATAAGCTGATTGCAAGCCATAGGAAGAAAACTTGAATGAAGTTGTAATCTCTCAAGACGAGTTTCTCAAAAGGAAAATTTTTGAGAATTTCGGTTTTTTGATGCACAGTGTTCTTAGCGTTTGCGATATTAGTACGTATCCTCAAGTCAGGAGTAACTTAATATGAGAACTGGCAGACAAAGCGCTTAACCTCACGGCTCCACAGTCTCAGATTCTTGATGCAAAGATCTTGATGCAACAAATCACGAAGAGGTGTTCACTTATGTTTGAATCTACTCAATACAAAACCTTATGGAAAGAGTAGGAATTACCCGAAAATGGCAACTTACAGGAGTGTAAGGCGTGTGGTGTAGCGCGCATTCTGCAGTACACACATTAAGCTACGTATAAACCGACGATACATGTGCGCGCTAAGTTACGAAAGGTTTACTGCTTCTGAGTTTTGACTGCATTCAAAAATATGAAGAATGAACAAAATCATAGCTCTTACAACCAAGCCGCAAAACGGACATCATTTTTGTACCAACCTAAAATTTGTTACCAGCGGCGACCCGAGGGGCGGGCTCCATCACCCTCTATAGAAAAATTACATGTTCAGCCATAAAATTGTCGACAACTGAATTTGTAGAACCATAAAACTGAACAGTTATAGTGAACTCTGCTCCGCAACGTACGGTAGTAATTCGAAATGTAAATCATATGAATGTCCAATGGTTCGAAAACAGGTCTTGCTGATAGACTACTGATTATTCAACACCGGCGTGCTAAGACTAATCTCCTGATTGAATGCCCGCCAAAGTACATAGAACAGTAGTTCTGATATCAGTTGCTATAGTCAGCTGCATGGCTACACATCGTGTTCTTTGGGAAAGTGTCAGGGACGATAAACATCTATCTATTTTGAACATGTTCTCTTTACTGACTTCTAGAAGAAACATCATTTTCATCATATCTTCTTATCTGCGCATCAAACATTTGAATCAATCTGTAGTTATGCTCGCAACCAGTTTTATTTTCTTTACATTGTAACCTTAGGAGAAACTTATGCACTATTTTTACGAAATTTTGAGAAAGTTTCCTTGATAGGTTTCCATTTTTGTAGATTAGGTCAAACATTCTTGTTGACTGTTTGAATTATTTTAGCGTTTTCTTCTGTTTTTCCATTTCTGGCTTTTGTGTTGAAATGCATGAATTTGCGGGTTTCGAATAATATTTCTAAATAACACGCAAGGAAAGTTTGCTAACTACAAGTTATAATACTTGGAGGAAAAGCTAATAAAACTTACATTTGTGACTACTTTGGAAAATCCAATGATATTACGAGTTTTCTGGTGAACATGATAAAGAAACCAAACCAATTTCCATTTCGACTTCATTCTCACAGACATGCTCCTAGTTGAAAGTGCTTGAATGCTGTTTCACAGTGTTCATGATCTTAATTATGTAAAAATTCGGAAACGTGCAAATAAGTTGATGTGAAGGGCTAGGCTACCACATATTGTAAACTCTGAAGGACTTGTGGAAAAAGATGTTTGCATTCACAGCGAATCTGAGTCGGTTCTGTACCAACCTGCATTAGTTTCAACATGCATTCGATGCAGCTCTTCCTTCTTCTTTTTTTATGGATACATTCTCGAACCACATTCTTGTATGCTTTTTTAAATAATTGCCAAAGTTTTTCACCAGTCAATCTTATCTGCTCAAAGTTAGGCTAGTTTTTGAAAATTTCATTCCAAAGTTTCGGAAAAGTATGGGTCAAATTGAGCAATTCTCCGACTACAAGGTATTATTTTTAGATTTTCCTAATCTGCTAGTTTTAGCTTCAAAAAATTACTTCTTTGGAGGTCTCGATTTTTGGCAAACTGAATCATGCAATCGCAAACAAAAACACGAAACCTTTTGAAGTTTTTTTTTGCAGTAAACATGATTCTTATTAAACATTGTTTATGCGACATAAACAAGTTTGATATGTTTTAAAAAAGCAGCTTTTTGGCATTTTCGATACTTTCAGGCCTGGTAAACATTATCAAAAAGCTGTTGTTTTTCTTAAATAGATAATTATTAAGGACTTCGTGACTCATGTAGTCTAAAATAAGCACAATGTAGCCAATGATTTGCTCTAAATAAAAGTTGTTAGCGCTTTTCAGGAGAAAATCTTTTAAAATTCAAGAAAGAATTGGCGTTACTCATGAGCTGCTCAAGAAGCTATGGCAATAACACTGCAAAGACAGAGTAGATCAGAGAAATATAGCTGTAAGAAATAGGATAAAATCTTATTCAGATGATACCTAAGTCGTCCATGGATTGGTGTTTTGTGAGTTTTAGTGAGCGATGAAAAAAACGGACAAAACATTCGGGATAACCTAATATATCCCTTTTCAATCCTAGAACTTCAATTTTTCTTTATAATTTTTGAGTTATCAGGTTTTCGCATGATTAAAGCTCCATATATGGGTCCAAAATACTTTTCGGTTCCATATACGGAAGGAAACTTGACCATGACAAGTTCACCTAGAATGAGCGCCAGGTACGGCAGTGATGCGAGATCATACTGGCGCGACTTCTGCCATTACAGATAACAGTTACTGTCATCTGATATTTACAATTTGAACCAATCAAGTCAGTTTTGCTCATAACATCGAGCTATTCTACTGAAAGAAATATGGCTGAATCGCTTGAACTAAAAATTCTATCGACTCCAACTATTTGCCATTAGCAAAACAAAGAAACTATTGCAAAACTCAAATTTATAAATTTGTTCGTTACTAATATTCTCACATAAGCCAACCTCTGTATCCATCAAAAGCTCTGGTAATCAAGTCTGCGAAATTCCCATATTTATTTTCATGTCTTAGATAACCATTACATTTGCTGCACTATTCTGCACTACTTTCCGCGTTTTTAAGCTAATCAATCAATTGAATGTCATGTAATTATTAGCAGTGCACGAATCGTAGAGATTTTGACACTGTTATCGAATTAGCAATAGTTGAGATAAGAAGTGTGAAGCCATCTTTGATTATTTATTACCACATTAATCCTATTCACTCACTACTGAATGAAATGTTTTACTACATCTGTCATTTTGTGTGCCATTCACTTTACCGGAGAACTAGATTGTGGTTTATTTCTCGTAATTTTAGGTAAAAAAAACCTCACACTGAGTTTTATCAACGGTAAAACTCCACATTCGCAACAAAATGATTAGGTAAGATCACCTAAGACTCATTTCTCCGTTGTTTTTCTTCACTCTTCCAAATTTTTTCCAGGAGTTCTTATGCGTTCATCAATCTGGTCAAGGCTATGTGCGGCGTGGGCGTATTCGCCCTACCAGTAGCATTCCAACAAGCCGGACTATGGGTAAGTAAACATATATCAAGGTAAAGGGTCTTTGTAGCAGGCCGGGGAGGGACCGTAGGAGTGGGGGATCATGGAAAATCCTGACCAAAGATCAACGATGTGTTATATCTTTGCATAAAATCAATTGATCGATTTTCTCGGCTAGTAAAGAATTCTAAATCTTACTTATCCAAAAATTGTGGTTACTCTATTAATTTCAATGAGTTTTTGAGCCGGAGAGTGATTGGAGGAGGAGAGTGACGTCATACGATGTAGTCATTTTCGCTCAAAATCAAGTAGTCGAAAATTTTCCGATTGTGTAATTATTTTTGAGGGTCAAATGATGACAAATCAATAAAAAGTCAGATAGCTACACTAATTTTAATGAGCGAAGTTTGGTGATTCTCAGAAAAAATCTTTGCAGAGAAGGTATCTTTCCTAAAAGGTTTCATTGAATAGATGTTGCTATAATGCACATTGGCTAAGCCGGAAAAAAAGAGCTATGTAAGTGTTTTTTGTCTAAAAGAGTTATAAGTCTTGTTCATTATCCCTTATTTGATTGATGGAGATTCAAGCTACTATGGGAATTCGTTCGTTCACAACAATGCTGGTATAGCTATTTCGTATGGAACGTTTTCCGTTATTCAGAAAACATCCATAGATACCATCGAAACAGTTTTGAGTGAAAGAGCAGATTATTGTAAACGATCTCCTCTACTTTTTTAGCAACAATAAGTTGCGAAATTTACGTATCATCAAAAGCTCCAACTTCATGTTCTTACTCCAGACAGGTGTCATCTTGACTTTCCTCTTGGGAGTCGTGAATGCACATTCGATGATGAAACTCGTCAAGTGCTCGCAGTTTCTTTGCCACCAGTAAGTTGCCCAGACTCTGCCGTTCACAATAATATCAAGAAATATAGGAAGGCACTCAACGAAGACACGAACAAGTTGGATACGATACAACCGATTAGACCAGTGGAGAAAAGCCGCTATGATGCATCGGTGTCTGCTTTAGAGAATCTCGACAATTCTTTAGATCATAACTATGTTGAGTATTCTAGGATAATGCAAAGAACAAGCGCGAAGCTGTGGCACTGAAAGGCATCGAAGAATTCGAAAAAGGAGAAGCAGTGGAGAAGTAGGTGCAACAACTTCTCAAAAAACTTATTTCCTTTTTATAGTGTAGATAGCACTTTTCCATAAATTTTACTCGAAACTATTTGAGTAATCAAGTTTACAGAATATTTATAGGCGATTCACCCTGAATTATGGTGACATGGCACATGAAGCCTTTGCAACTCAGCAATCTAAATCCCTAAGAAGGCTGGCGAAACCAATGAAGTAAGTTTACATCAACTCTCAAGGTAAAATCAACATATCCTAAGAAAATCTATGTTGAAAGAGTCTATGCTTTGTTACATCGGCTATACAACTAAAGAATAAAGACAAAAATATTTTTGATTTGTAACTGTCTCCTTTTAGATTTTTTTGTTTATATTCTTTCTTCTTTTCTGGATGCTTTGCTACGAAAAAAACTCCAAAAGTAAGGTGTAAATGTGATCTAATTTTTTTTTACTACGTCGCATTCACGACATATATAGAAACTTAGATCATTATTCTTTTTCATAGTAAAGAAGCAAAAAATTAGCGAGTAAAGAGGAACTTTGGTATTTATTCATGTTGTTATCACCTGTAAGGCAGTCAAAATTTAACTATGCATCTGTATACGATTTGTGGAAAATTGTGCAAATATGCCTTTAATACTGAGTTATCATTATGAATTTATGAATTTAAAAATAGATGTGTAGGCAACACATCACAAGAACAACGGATGTCTGCTCTACTATAGGTTAAAATTACAAAAAGTTGTGTTTTGTTTCCGTCATTTTCATGATTTCATTTTTTGGCACTTCCAGCATTGATAGCATGCATCATAAGGAGTCTCTGAAAAAATAAGATTGTTTTAGAATAGCAGTGAATGCATGCATAATTGGTCTACAGCTAGGAATCTGCAGTGCTTTTTACATTTTCGTAGTAGATCATGCAAAAGAGGTATGCACTGAAAAATACCATGCTCATAGTTCAGAGGTGATGAAAATCATTTTCAGGTTCTCGATGTCCTATTCTCTACAGAACTATCGCGTGACACTCTATTCTTCACCATACTTCCATTCTTCATACTCATCGCTACCGTGCGCAGCTTGGTTGTACTATCGTGGATTGGACTTATTGGAAATGTCTTGGTCGTATCTGCAATTCTTATTATTTTAGGGGTGAGTTTGAGGTGAATGGGTTAATTGATAAATCGATAGTAATTCCTTTACTCATTAGTTCCATTAGGACACGATTAGGACTAAGGCATACTTCACGCGATTCCAGTCGCTGCGCGATCTGGCACTGCAGCAACTCTTCGTAACTGGTCGTTAGCGCGCTTTGCATGGGCCAGACTTAAAGCCGCCTATGCACTTAGGACCCGCACACGATTGATCTGTAAATATCTGGCAGACTGCCAAGTCGCGTGGATATAGCGATTTGATTCGATCGCGCGAGGTATGCCTTAAGCCTTACGCATTCAAAAAACATTATCTCAATTATGTACCGAATTACATAATTGAGGTGATCATTATTATTTGAGTTTAAGCGATAAATTTGGGAATTGATAACAAATAAAACTATTGTGTCAAAATTTTTATGTCAAACTCCGTTTCGCTCCTTACCTTAGGCCTCGGACAGAGTACACGCGATTTGATTGTCGCGATTTAATCGCCGCGATGTCCATTCGTTTTCATTTTACATTCAAAATTTCGAGCTGGATAACTATCACAACCGAAATGCAAGCTGTCGACATGCAATGAACTCGTGACAGTTGTCTTGAAGCGATTGAATCGCGACGATCAAATCGCGTGAACTCTGTTCGAGGCCTTAGACAAAGTTTTTGATTTTTGGACCCTCAAATAAGGAAAGAGATTGAATTTGAAAATAATTGTTCAGCAAATGCTTTTCATGGAACACACTCCGCTGTCTTACCTGCCAGGATTTACAGGCATCGAAGCTGCGACCTTGGCTGCTGGAAGTATTGTCTATGCTTATGCAGCCCAAGCAGTGGTAAGAATCATAATCAAGTTAAAAATGTTGGGATAGTAGATTCAACGCATTTTGAAATACAATTTTTTCAGGTTCTCCCACTGGAGAATAAGATGAGAAAGCCCCGAGATATGCTGGGCGTTTGCGGTGTCATATCAACGTCTGTGATAATCATAAGTTTCCTCTACAACATTACCGGATTTTTGGGTTATGTAACATATGGAGACAGTCTGAAGGGAAGCATCACGCTCAATCTCACTAACTCACCGTGAGTATTCAACATCGATTTTAAAGAAGATAAGACATGCACTGTGAAATCTTTCAACCTACTAGGTGTGCAAAACCCACTCGAGAATATCAGTTTAAGATTGATAACATTCGAAAAGTTGTAGAACAAACTCAAAAACCAACAGGCCCAGTCAGCCCATTCCTCCCTGCTCCTTGTCCTGACCCTATTTTTTTCAATACCAAAGATTTGGAACGCTTGAGTCCAAAGATGGCCTATTATGATCTTTGGGAATTTGTAAAAGAAAATATTGCTGTTAGTGGCTATACAATGTTATGCCAGTGCCATGTTTGTACGGTGGAATTCTTTATTGGCCTTACGTTTCGACAAATTCGTCTTCGTCGGAGGCCTGAAAGTAGATTGCAGTGTTATCTTTGCAAGACCAGACCGCCAAACGCCTCCCCGCACTGCCGAGTCTAGACCCCGTCCCGCAATCAGCGTAATGGGACACGCGATGAGAAACGAACCTTAATCCACCATTGTGTTAGTGAGAGTCAGTAGAGTCAGTACGTAGCCGCATCGGACAGACTACACTGATTCTTGCTCAGCGGTCGACACTTATATACGGGCAGGCTACCGCTCACAGATCGTTAAGATAGGCAAGAGTTCGGTTGTTATCGATACGCATTCGTTTCTGTTATTCATGCTAGGATTTTAAGAGAAATCCACGCTGCCTCTACGGTCTTTCTCACTGAAATCTCTGCCTCGTATGACAAGATAGTACATTTAACGTCAAATTCACCGCCGTTGTGCGTTTCAATTCTATGTCTTCCCAACGGTGACATCGCATTTGCTCGTCTCAAAGCCGCTAAATGCTCCTCGAGTCTGACGTTCAGCAATCTACCCGTTTCTCCGATATATGTCGCCTTACAATTACATCATTCTTTCTCAGACATCTTTCATTTCATCATCATTTTCATTTCATCTACTTTCAGGCCTCCGACGAAGACGAATTTGTCGAAACGTAAGGCCAATAAAGAATTCCACCGTACAAACCTGGCACTGGCATAACATAGTATAGCCACTAACATCAATTCCAAATGCCAAGGTTCAGAGAGGAGAAAATATGGAAAATATTGCATTATTTTGCAACAAAAGAATAAAATGCATGCGATTTTGAATCCTCTGTTAACAAGATTTTATTGAGTGACTGATCTGTTGACAAGGGCTGCTAGGGTTATTGAAAATAATTCATCTCAAGCTTAGAAAAGCATATCATCTGACATCATTATGACATCCAATCCTTAAATTCAGTATCAAAAATCTGAACAAAATTCCAGTTGATCGGTGTCCCATCGCTGCAAATATGCAAAAACAGTAAAACAGTTCAGTTATCTGCCAATTTTGGCTGTTCTCAAAAATTTATTCAATAGTTCATAGATTGTTCGCAAACTCCGGTCATCTTGTACAAATTTTTTTATGTTAATCTTTACAGGCTTGATTTTTCGGTCAAGTTGATGCTTTTGCTCATGACCTATTGTGGATACTTAATTCAACATTACCCAATTGTTGAAATGCTTTGGCCAACTGTTCAAAATCGTTTTAAAAATGCCAGTGACAAGGCAATCCTCGCGGTGGACTATGCCCTGCGATACGCTGTTGTGGTACTTTCATGTAAGTTGTTTTCTTCTTTGCATTTGCCAAAAATAGAGGTAAACTTGCTCCAGTCGGACTTGCCTACGTTATTCCGAACTTCAAAGACATCGTTCCGTTCATTGGAGTTACAACAGGAATGATGATAGCATTAGTCTTTCCTCCACTACTTGAGACAGTTGTCTTTATTGAAAAATGGAGAAATGGCAGTGTCGTCGCACTGGTATGCAATGTAGTTCTCAATGCAGTGTATATAATACTTGGTATATTGTTTGTAATAGTAGGAATCTACTCAAATTACAATGTTTTGGCAAATCGAAATAGGCCACAGTGAATGTTCCCAAATTGTTATTATATTGTACTCATAAATCATTGATTTATATTTTTTTTCACGATGAATAACAAGAGGGACGTGTAGCGTAGTGGTATGAGGCGACGCTATGACCACGTCGGACCAATGTTCGATCCCGCCCTTGGGCAAACCAGGCCTTCTGTCCTCCTAGTTGGTAAATCGTACCGGAATAATTCTGGACTAAAAAAGCACTGACTTGGTAGTCGGTTGGCCTCCGAAGTCATGTAAGAAGTTCACACGCACACAATAGCCTCTTCGGCTATGAAGTAGCTATTATCTTTCAGGATTTTCAGGGGGGGGGTTGGGGGAGGCCAATTTGCGACCTTTCAAGTACTAGGTTTTTAAACCTACTTATAGAAGAACTGGTTGTTTCTCTGATTATCATCAACAAATTGGCAGGAAGAACTCAACTTTATTCAATTACGACTTTTTTATCGAGCAACGAGACTGATGCCTTTGCTAAAGGAACTTTCAGCCCGTAGCAACAGCATCTATTTCAAACACGAATCGAAGGACAAAATCTTTACATATAGTGCTCATCCATCATTCATATGGTCGTGGTTTTAACAACGTGCAACGATCTATCACCCGGACCCGACTATGCACTGAATAAAAAAGATCGAAAACTGTGTTTTGATACACTTATCGGTCTTCTCTAATAGGTCTCACTCATCACATGTAATGAGTCAAACACACCTCTTTAATCCAAAACTAGGGTCCAGCTTGCTAACAAAGACTAACTGCTTGGAATCGTATTCTCTTTTTCATTGGGGTCATTGGCAGTTTCCCAGCAAACAGGTTCAGGCATGGCTGGTCATATTACCCGACAGCGGTAGCTGAGCTTCCTTGCAATTTGCTTTTTTGAATAATTTAAGATCACTTTTGCTGGCAAACGAGGTGGTATTTAGTCCATCTCCATTGATATTATATAGTCATATAGAGGTTTTCCCGCATACAACATGTTCATGCCAATGCCTATAGTTACATAACATCCTTCGTTCACACAGGCTGTTCCTTAATACCTTCTTTCTAGCCCACAAAACTGACTCCAGCTGACGTGATGATCTATATTGTTCTTTTTTCAACTCCTGTTCAGCGTACATTTATTTTACATTCTTTTCTTTCCTTCATGTCAGAACGCCGAGTTTTCTTATTTACCCCAACCAATAACACACTTCCTTGCCTTTTTCTCCGATATTAAACAACATATCTTATAAGACGTAGATGGTTTACAACTCTAAGCCACCAGCAAGGAACAAATCAGATTGTCGACAGATGTGGTAGGGTTGCTTGTAGTTACAGTCAATATGATGTGATGGTGTGTGTAGCACAAAATCCTAAAATCTAGTAAGTTTGGTCCAGGTGGGTTTCGTCGCGCTCACAAATTTGCTATTTATTTTTTGCTGCCCACATAGCGGGATCACAGTGGGTATACAGTGATCAGGTCAAGAACAAAATGGCCTCAAAATTAGTTCATCCACTTGGGCTACTCGACTTATTGACCATCAATAAACTATCCGCTTTTGAAGCGGCGTCACATAACGGGGTTGCAGTAGATGCACAGTAGACTAGCCAAAATCATAGTATTAAGCGAACATGGCGCGGTGGGCTTTTTCGCCCGTTAATTACGCATATCACAGCCGGTTACTAGAACAGCGATCCTAAGGAGGTTACGATGAGTATACGGTAGATGGATCGAAGTCCCGAACTTGCTTGAAATCTGACGTGAGACGTCTGTTAGGATGCTAGTTAAATTATACCAATAATTTTCGTTTTGGGGCACGCTTTGAGGTTAATCAAGGTATATGATAGATAATTCAATAATACTCTTGAACACTGAAACTTGGATTTTGGATATACGGCATACCGTCGATAATCTAGAGACAGGACCCTAAAAGTGAAGGTTGTCTGATCATCTGCCCCCCCCCCCCCATAAAAAGTGCAGGTTGTTCATATAAAACCGGAGAAGAAAAAGATGCAAAACATTTAGAAAAGCAAAAGAATTTCTTGAAAATTGGATAGAAACGCCGCAATTAGTTTGAAATCTTTCACATAGCGGCATTGCAGGTTTTCACTCCAAAACAACTATTCTACAACCCGAGGAAAAACGAGGAAAAGCTAGTTTTTTCTTTGTGTTTACTCCAAAAACACCATGTTTCAAAACAAACAAGAAAATAATTAGTTTTGAAAACAAAAGAGTTTTGCTTTTACCAAGTCGAAATGCGCGTCAAAGCCAACCTAATTTTTGGGGCGTCCTTTGAATTTTTACTCCCGCATTGAACCCTAATTTCACGCATACAAGGCGCACCTTTTTCGATTTTTCAAACGTGCCGCTCAGTCTCCTCGTTGTGCTTCGGAAAACGAGACTTATGCCGCACGATACTCTCAGGCAATATACAGCGCTGTATATAGTTTTTTGTTGGCGAAGTCCTTTGCCGTGTTTGGGCTGGTCGATTTCAGAAAAAAATCCCCCGCGCCTTGTACGCGTAAAATTAGGGTAGTTCTTGTTTTCTGGGACGATGTCTAAATTGTAGCGCTTACTATTCTGAGCAATAATGTTCAAGGAAAAAAATCTTTGCGAAAGCACTGAAATAGAACGAGGTAAAGAAAAACGCATTTTTTACGATTTTTCACGAAAAATTCAGCCTCAATTGAAGAGATAAGCACTGGGTTGTTATCTGCATTATGAACAAAAGCAAGATCTATAGAATGCACGAAAAAACCGCGTAAGAAGAGTTATGTTAGGGAAAAACAAGAGATCGAAAACAAGGTTTTTGCCGGATTTCTCGTCCAAATCAAAAAATATGTTTTGGGACGTTGTCAGCGCGAAAGTAGAGATCAGGAGCTTTAAAATGATAATAAGCCTGCTAAAATTGGGTTTGAAACAGCGAAGAAAAGGGTACCAGAGCCAAATGCCCCGCGCCCCGCCTTTGGGGTAGCGAGTTAGCGCGCAGCGCGCGGATACGCAGACGAGCAGCTTAGAAGATTAGAGCCGACGGGCATTTGGCTCTGGCTGTAGATCTCCGCGGGGTCTCAACGAAATCCTACAACATTATATGTCACCAGTGCGTCACCTCTGCTTCGCAGAGGCTCGCACTGGCTCTACTATCTATGTGCCTTACTCATTCTCGTAAAATCGTGGCACTGGAACTCACCGTGCTATCCCGACTACCACGAATGAAATGTAAACAAGTACTTATTTAGAAAGCTTTTTCACGTGAGATCGGTGATTTCGCATGGAAAAAACTTTTTGCAGGAAGATAAAGGCAAATTTGAATAGACTTTTGAATTTGTCATGGTTTGATAGTCGCATTAAAGGCAATAGTCACCGTGAGCTACATCTCTGTGCGAAAATCTTCTCAAATGCTTTTCTAGAACCTTGGCAAATTGACCATTTACGCAAGCAATAATTTTTGGCCCCGTTTTTGTAAAGTAATGGACTTTTGGCCACTTATTTGGGCATAAGTTCATGGCTTGCACATTTACTTGCCATAAACACCCACCACTCTGCAAAAAGTGGAATTACAAACCCAATTTTGTGGGCTAAATGCAAAGTGGACCCGTTTTACGCAATTTCCAGGGGATCCACTTATCGGATCAGCTTGTGCTTTTGCACAATGGACTTTGCTGCTAGGATGTGCTATGCAAGATTTGGGCTCAAGAGGTTGACTGGAACTCTCCCTACGAATTTCGTTACAGACAGACGGACACACATACACACAAAGTCACGTAAACACCCTTAGCCCGTTATTATAAGTTATGATTCTCATAGTCATGATACGACGAGGAACACTGTTGCTTCTCTGTAGGCTCAGCACCACCTTGCCTCGCTCAGCTGCCTGCACAACGCTGCACGTACTGCCTGCAAACCCTAGCGCTGGTTGGCCATTCCAACGCGTCCAACACGACGACTCCGCTAAGTGGAAATCCTACTATAATACGCGCTAAGAGTGTTTACGTGTTTTTGTGTGTATGTCTGTCTAAATCTCTGTCTGTCACGAAATTCATAGAGCGAGTTTCAGCAAAGGTCTTAAGCTCGAATTTTGGTAGTAGCACCCTATCGGCGTGTAAGTAAAGCGTGCAAAAGCACAAGCCGATCCGATAAGTGGAACATGTGAAAACTGTGCGCCAAACGGATCCACGCGACTTGCGCGCCAAAGTGAGGCTGTAATTGGACTTTTTCCAAAATGTGGATTTGTCTAACAAGTAACTCCGCAAACCATGGACTCTAGCCCAAAAGATGAACAAAATATCTACTTTCGCGCAAGATCGGCGCCAAAAAGGAATAATTGCGTAGACAGTGGATTTATCAAGGTTCTACCTAAGAATTCAAGAACATTTTTGCTTATAGATGTAACCCACGGTTGGCCTCATCCTTATGCGACTATCAAGCCAGCTTATAACTCCAGTAATGATTGAGACCCGCAATTAACTTTTTTGAAGAATACTTTCTTCCTCTCCTCTGTATTTCAACAAGATCATTTTACGACTTCGAGGAAGGCACGTGGATAGTAGGACTACTGCGAGCCTCTGCGATATCTGAGTAAATAGATACCTGAGTAATAAACGAGAAAAGATAAAAATCAATAAAAGGAAGCTATGTATAACTAACTTAAATTCCACAGCTCGATGAGCCAGCGCCTTTGCTTTGTTTCTGTGCGGTATTTGCGGAGAAGTGGCGAATGTAAGTGGACAGAAAAATATAGGAAGAAAATGTGGTAACCAGTACAAAAACTCACTTCAGGCGCAGTCAAATTCAACTGTAACAAATCTGCAGGAGCATCATGCAATAATGTCAAAGAAAATGGAGTATTGTATTCATTCACTAAAACCGCAGCTAAGAAATAATTTTGGCAGGAAAGCAAATTTTCACAATCTCACTCAAAGAGATCAATTATGAAAAAGAAAGCATTTAAATTGGAATTTGTTGTAAGCGAAATGAGGAACCACTGAGAAGCGACATATGGGTTTTAACGCCGACGGCCAAGATGTGCAGCTGGATTGCTTGCGTGCTTCTGAGCGATATCTTCAAGAAAAATAATGACTGTTAGCATCTTCAGTAAACGTGTAATTTGGTGAAATTGCAGAAGAAGTGAATAAAAGCCCAATTTCAACAATTCGCAGTTGGTAGTCATACATTATCTTTACCAATGTAGAGATTGCTTGTTCTTCGTTCATCTAAAAAGGAATTCAGTGTGAAAGGAATGAATGATTGTGGTTGTGGAATCCGAATATAAAACTCAACTTTTTGAAGGGTGGTAAAAAAACATGAAATGTGTAGGAGCCAACACTTAGACAGAGCGACGTCACTATTGCGAAACTACTCGTTAGGCAGCCTCCATACCGCGCCGGCTGCCGCTTTTGCAACTGTTAGCCGCTTTCGCGCCGGTTGCCGCTTTTGCAGCCGAAGCGCAATGGGTCAAGCCATTGTCTCCCCAGCCCATGTGAACGCGGAAGGTAGAAAAAACTCATTAATCAATTCACTTTTCTATGCTTTTTCATATCATTTTCTTAATGTTTGTGTTATAGAGTGGTTTTCATGTACAAGTTTTGGATAATAGTTGCTTCAAATACCAAAACATTGCCGTTGAGAACAGATGCGCTAAGTACAGTATTACATTCAGCTGAAATTTGTGGACAAGTGGACGAATCATTGCTTTTTTTTCCAGTATTTATTCATGTTTTTGCTTTATATGAGTGGTGCGGTTTGGAAAGCTCGAGTTTTGATGGGCATTTATCATACCTCTGTTAAGGCGTAAAGATAAGCTTGAAAAACCGCATTACTCACAACAGATATGAAACTTGAGCTAAAAACGAAATTGAAAAAGGAAGTAGCGAACACCCCAAATACGTGAATGCAAACGCACAATTTTCATATTTGTTGTAGGTGATGCAGTCTTTCTACGCTTAAGTCCATGCATTATCATGGATGTGCAGAAATGCTCATCAAGATTGTATCCAGCTCCAAACTGCATCTTATATATAAAGCTGAATGTCTGTTTGTCTGTCTGTCTGTCTGTATGTGTGTACGTATGTTCCGAATAGAAAATTCCATTTCTGAACCGATCGGGACCAAACTTGGCACACATACACTTCGGGCCCCGGCGGCCCCCACGGGGGTGATCAGCATGCTCGATTACACCCCTCTGCCGAAATCCAGCCCCCTAGCTCAAATTTTGCAAAAAAATCGGTAAAATCGACATCGATCGATAACGAAAAGTGGACTGTGACACCCGCCGGGGCCCGAAGTGTATGTGTGCCAAGTTTGGTCCGGATCGGTTGAGAAATGGAATTTTCTATTCGAAACATACGGCGGAGTTGGGTAAGCCAGCTAGTCACTCATAAAAACCATAATACGTGAGTGTAATAAAATTGAAAAAAAACGCAAAGAATCATTCATTTTGTAACATCCACTTAAATGTAGATGATACTTGTTGAATCTGTTCCCAACGGCGATGTTTCATGTCTTGGAGCAACCATTAACTAAAGACTTATACCTCGAATCCATCCTATAGAAGAAAAATTAAGAAAAGATGAGAAGCACAGAAAAGTGAATTGATCCATGAGTTTCCGTGCTTCACACACGCTAGGAAGACGATGGCTTGCCCACTGCGCTTCGGCTGCAAAAGCGGCAACCGGCGCGAAAGCGGCCAACGGTCGCGAAAGCGGGAAACGGCGCGGTTTGGATGCTTCCTTAGTCACTCATCATTTCGTGTTTCTTTCGGCGACAGTTTCGAAAATCTATTGAAAAATTGTCTCGCGCATGTCTACGCGTCTTCCTGCGAATTCTTCAAAAAGGGGCGGATCTCCAGTGCGAGCAAACAGCAATTTCTGAGCAGAATGTATTGCGCATAGCGTTGGTCCTGTGTGAAAAGCGTCAAGCTTGTGCGAACTGTCCTACGCTCTTTCAGAGAGATCACTCTAGTCTTAGGCCTCAGGCCTCGGACAGATTTCACGCGATTTGATCGTCGCGATTCAATCGCCGCGATTTCCATTCATTTTCATTTTACATTCAAAAATTTCGGGCTGGAAAAGTATCAACAACTCGTAGCAGTTAGCTTGTCGCAAGTGAATCGCGACGATCAAATCCCATGAACTCTGCCCTAGGCCTCAGAGATAGGTACGCTTAGCGCCTCTCGACATGCCTTGACAAGTATTAGTACGAGGAGAGGTGCTCCGTGTTTAGTTTCTAGCAATGGGTGCATCGCACAGGTGTGGGGGGGGGGAAGGGGGTTTGAGTCTCGGAGTCTTTTGGACTTAGTCGGATTCTGTTGTGATGCTACCCAAGGCGGCTACTCGAAGGCAGCGTCCCAATCACAACTTCTATTTTTTGCTTTATGCAGGCCTGCCAACGCATTCTGTCTATGGCACCAAAAATCGTGAATTCTTTTAGAAATTTCTTTCTTTTTTGAGGCTAATCTACGAAATTGTGTGCTATTCTATGAATTCATGTTGTGCAATCCATGATATCGCGGTAGAGGCCTGCACAAGAATAAGCGAAAGTTGCCCCTTCCGTCGCCAGTTTTGCCGGTCGTGGCGATCAGCGCTCGCAACAACTTCGTCGATCGAGGTAGATCCAGTGCCTGAAGCTTCCAAACTGCATGCGTGCAACGGTGCTTGAGTAAGTGAGTATTGGGATGTCGCTGCACTGTTATACTCTTTACCTTATCAAGATACTTTTACTGATCAGACCGGATTTTCCATAGATAAGATCGAATGAGGTAAAAATTTGACATGTTTGCTGCTAGGCTGTATTCTATGTTTTGTTGAGCACAACCAATTTTATAGGAGACGGTTTACTACGCGGTTCGCATTTCATTTGAGCTTATCCGAAACCCATTCTTAAATCAGGTATGTTTATGTTGAAAGCTTGAAAAAGACTGGCAATTAGAAGAGATCATAACTATCTTATTTTTGGAAGTACTCTTGCGAAAAGAAAAGTAACAGCTGTCGCTTCTAGTTGAAGCGGCTGAACAAGTAGAGTTTTCAAATTTCACAGGTTTGAACATTACCTTTCAAGACGGCATCGTCTTGAAATGACTGTGAGGATTTAGCTGCCGCTAGCAGCCTGTAACAGCCGCCAGCAGGTATCATCCACCCTTAGCTGTAGCTCGCCGATTTTCAATCCAATGCATCCTCCTGCGCCTCTCATATTTCACGCTCTCTCTTCAATGTTAGCAAGTACTGCATAAAGGGCGGGCTTACTTCACCGGGTTTTACTCTCGCCACGCAGTTTGGCGATTTGAGTGATGTTTTTGGACTACAATAATGGCAGATACAAATGCGTAGTGTGTGGACTTTCGTGGACAAAGCAGTGTGAAAGCATATGTCAAAAACAGAACAAAGTGCTCAGAATAGTCACAAGCGCGCCAAACTTTTGGAGGTTGGATTGGTCATTTGCAGTGTTCGACACAAGCAGATCGCAGTAAAGAAATTGGCCATCAATAGCATATGCAAGCTTCCACGGCAACCACATATGACAATGGATACAAAACTGATGTATAGGAGTCAAACAGTGCATTCTCTAACATTCGTTGCATACCAGGGGCGCTCCTAAATGGCTTGGCGTACAGCGGTTCCGTAATAAGCGCTACCAGCGGCTGTTTTGGTGATGAGCAACGTCCTATCAACGCAGGCAAGGAGCGGAGTCCCATCACATACTCCGTAACTACCTCACGCCGTAAGCGCAAGCTATACTCGCATGGGATACAACGGTGTGATTAAGCTGCTTCAGCGTTTATGGACGAGACACTACTTGGGTTTAAACAAAGAGTAATGTTGATGTTGTTTCTATCGAGTTGGTCCGATAGCAGCCGGCTGAGTGTTGTGGAAGTTATGATCCTTTGGTTTCGATTTGGTGAACTTCATCGACCGGAGTAGGATTTTGCGTCCATATTTGGGTTTTATAAGATTCATGGAGTCGAAAAAGCTGTTTCGATATCAGCTAGTAATGCAAACAGTCCGTTAAAAAAATTGGGTGAACTCGCGGTTCATTACCAACGACGTATCCTCTGGCATAGCAGCGGCGCACCATTCGCCTGCCAACGGGGTAACCCAGTTAAGGCCTAAGGCATACCTCGCGCGACTTCGTCAAACCGCCACATTCACGCGACTTGGTGGTTTGCCAGATGTTTACAAACCAACCGCGTGAGGGCCTAGAATATAGAAAGCATAGCGTAGCAAGTAATAGCAAAAGTTTCAAGTCTGGCCCATGCAAAGCGCGCTTACGACCAATTATGAAGAGTATGTTTTGCATTGCTAGATCGCGAGAACTGCGAAGATACCAGAACTGCGTAAGATATGCCTTAAGGAGCCTCCAGACCGCGCCGGTTGTCGCGTTTGCAGCTGAAGCGCACTCGGTAATATTTGGTCCGTGAGGCGCGGTAAACTTGTTCGCAATAATGGTGAAAAGCAGTGTTTTTTATCCTTTTGTCGCAGTTCTTACATTTTTAAGGTTCTCTGTAATGTTTTTAGTAATTTCTTCAATGTTTGAGTGAACAGTTATGTTGCAATGTACTTTATCCGATCAGGCTTGTGTTTTCGCAATTCTAGATGGTCAAGTCTTTCATTGCAGTGATTCGACCATGAAATGGTCGAATCACTGCAATGAAAGACTCCTTTATACCAAACGGAGCATTTTATACAACTTTCATTTGTAGGCTGTTCTTATATGCTAGTTGACCCTTATCTTCTTACATGTTACTGTCCAGATTGAGTTACATTTTCTGCGAAACGATATTTTTCAACTCAGCTTTTGTTCTGAAGGTATTGCCATGCCGGGGGAACGAGATGGCTGTGGAGCGGAGCTTTTTGATATTTTTTTGTCTCAGGACTCGTCTATGTGCTGGGTAGCCAGGTTAGGAAACGATGATTCATACTCTTTGATGATAGACGAGCCTCGATGCGGAAAAGAACATCAAAATAACTCCGCTTCGAAAGGTTTCGCTTATCAGCATACTGAAATACAACCAAAAGCAAAATTGGTACGTTGAAATTTCGTTCCACAGCTATATAGTTCACCCAGCATAGTAAACGAGCCAAAAGACATGTAAAAACCCTGCTTTGAAACATTTTGCGCTCATCCAATAGCAATATGTCAAGACGAGAGCAGGAAAGAAAAAACATTGTGCAAAACTGTAATAACTCACAGTAGCATAACCTTAAAACTTAAGATAAATTCAAAGAAACCTCGTTTCTAACAAAGTCGAAAATGAAAATAAAACAAGATGAAAGGACTTCGCTTGACCGTGTTTTGGTCACTTTGGCATAGACGAATACCTGGCGCCATCTATTCCTACCGGGCTGGCTGCGCGGGCGGTTCGCGCGCGGCACCCGTATAGCGTGGAGCGCGCATTCCTTCTTATGATTGCAACGTTGGATCAGATACTCTCTCGATCCAGGCGTACTGAGGAGGACTTTCGCTCCATAACGTATAAGAAGTCAGCTAAAAGGCAAGAAGATTATATTGATAAAGACATTCATTGCTTGTTTGCCACAACGTTCTCCCGAGATTACCTCTAATACCTCATTTTTGAGGATTTCTTTGCTTCGTTGCTTAGAGGTTAATTGACTGGATACTTATTTCAACTCACTGACTTTGAGCCGCACTTGTGCTATGTTTCTTGTTGTTAAGTCTTTTGATAACAAGAAAAATCTTTCAAAAGTCATGGGAGTAAGCTCACTTTCGGTAACAAGGTCCCATTACGACGGTGTACCAAATTTCCATATCAGAAGTAATGAGATTACTTGCGTATGTTCTACCGTAAGGTCTAGTGGATATCTTGTCTTGTTTGTTGGAATTTGTTGCGTAAGGTTTTGGATGTAGTCACCGATGTAGTCATACAGTAGATTTTGATGCTGTCGTTGCTTGCTACGCTTTACGGTTTCATAAGTGATACCGACCAGCTAGATAGATTCTTGAAGGATTGTCCATCAAGCAATACTTTGCTTTTTCACGAACGCTTCTGACACACTTTTACGAATCCATAACGGATATATCTGTCAGAGTGTATTTAGTGCGAAGAACACACAAACGTAAAATTCGAAGTCATGCAGGACATTTGTTGCAGTGTCAGTTCATCTAAAGTTTGGCTAAGTTGTATATTTTGTAACAATCAGTGATTATTATTGGTGAGCATTAGCCGTTTTCTCTTCAGCTGCGAACAGAACTATATGAACCCAAAAAGGCGATGCTAACAAGCTACTTGAAGGTGTTCTAATGGAATTTGACCAAAACTTGATGTCGAAATGTAGGCGACGCTAGCGTTCTTATATACTTTCTGACCTCCTTATCTATTCATGAAGTATTCCTGCATAATGGAATTATGTTGGCTTGATAGTGAACCTATAAGTTTGTAAGACTAGTCTTGAAGCATACTCTTACCATGGATCAGTGACCCACAACTGATGTTGACGCTTACAAGTATGGATCACTGGAAAAGAACCGGATTCGCTATTCCAGGAAGAGGCCAATAAATCGAAATCGTTAAACGCACTCGTTCTCAATCGTTCTCTGACCTTTTCATATGCAGAAAAGCAATTCCAAAAAAACCGAATAGGCTCACTGAGGAGTTGTAGAGTATCTTCGACCACATGCTAGTCCAAGAAGTAGCAGTAAATCAGCGCAGCGGCTACTGAAGTGGAAGCCAATTCACCAACATCGCAACGCATACATCCTTCGTTATTCTGCGATATGCGCGAGAATCTTCATTGTACCTTGAGCCGATCAAAAGCGCACATGACATTTTCATATCCATCCAATGCGCGCCCCAATGCTACTCACGGGTGCCGCGCGAACCGCCCGCGCAGCCAGCCCGGTAGGAATAGATGGCGCCCGAATACCTCCGTAGCGAATAAGATCGAGAGGAAACTTTCTACAGCAATGATTCGGCCATCTCAGCATCGCAGAACGGCGAAAAAACGGAAGCCAGAACATCTAAAGCACTTCTGCAAAGGAATTCTTTACTGAAACATTAAAGAGGACCTGTAACGGAAGAACGGCGACAAAAGGATAAAAACCCGCAAGTATCTTGTAAGTGCGAACAAGTCACCCTTGCGCGTCTGACCCTGGGCGCTTCGGCTGCAAAAGCGGCAATAGGCGTGGTCTGGAGGCTCCCTTAAGGGCCGGGCATACTTCACGCGATTTCAGTCGCGACGCGATTTGGCAATATTCCAACCGTTCATAACTCACTGTAAACACCTTCTATACGTACAGAAGATGGGGTATGTTATCAAGCCACGTAAGTTATACACACTATGCATGTGCAGTTTGCTAGTGTTGGATCTGAAGACTTCTGGCGAATTGCCAAATCGCGTCGCGACTGAAATTCCGTGAAGTATGCCCGGTCCTTTAGGCCTAAATGCGGCGTGCGACCGGTTGTGCGCTCCGCTCAGATGAGCATCGAACACCGTTGGTAGCAACGAAAGTCAGAGTTAGCGAGAACCAAGTAAAAGCATAAGAGAGGCATAGGCTGATGCACTGGAGCGCAGCAAAGACCCGATTTTTTCGCTTTATTATAGCGACAAATGCTAACGGCAGATGGCGGCTAAGGCGGCTGACGGATGCTGGTGGCAGATACAGGTAAAAGCATCCTGGGTGTAGAGAAAAGGTGATCCAATGTCCGTACAAACTCCATATTCGGATCAGTACAAAGGAGCATGTTTAGCAGATAGATACTTCATAGTTTATAGAAAGACCACTATGTTGAATGCGAGACCACTTGTTTCCTTTTGTGACGAATCAGAATTTTTGCACCAAATAATTTGCATACGTAATACTTTAGAGCTAGTTTACAATTCACAATGTCATGGAAACACCATTTGCATGAAAAAGAGCACGGCGAGCGGGCAAGGGAGTTACTCTATGAAGCAAATAAGTCTGATTCTTGTTTGGAGTTGAGCCTGCTGGTTCTTAAGCGTATTATTCTTCGCATGTTGATTGCTATTCAATTTTCAGATAAGTGCACAAGTGAACATTGCATTGTGCATTTGACCATATGCAAGATTTGTCTCCTTGAGATATAGATTTTCTGCTATTTTCGTGTAGGAATTTTGTTTCGAAGCTGTTACGGAAAACTGGAACGACATTATATCTACTTAGAGCTTGGCACAGCTGACATCGGGTCGACCCGGATATCGTTTTTGGGGGACAAAAAGACAAAAACGACGTTGTTTTTAGTTGACGTTTCGTTTTTCTAGAGTTTTTACGTTTAGGGTTTAGGGTCAGAGGGGACTTCGTACAAAATTTTCAAAAACAAAGGAGACTTCGTTTTGAAATTTCCCTAGTGTCAGCTCGTGCCAGCCCTTCATCCACATTTTCAAATATAAAAATTTTTCATGACATTGACTTTCAAGAAGCAATGATTGTCTATTTTGCACGGATAGTCTTGCTAGAAAACAAACTTTTTCAAAGAGGGAATGAAGTCATATCATGAAGCGTCACTGTAGAAAAACCCAGCTGGACACTTACGTAACCCAGAGGAGAAACGGCGAAACATTCTTGATACAGACGGATTCTGCAGAGTGCAGAAAAAGTTCTGTCCTTGGAAATAGCTGGAAAAGTTGGCGTGATTGCCATTTTTTCTTTAATCAACACAAACCTCAAGACATAACTAAATCCATTTTAAAAACTGGCCGCAATTTCACCCGCGCGCATCAATTCTCGCAGATGTCTTTCACAAATATGCAATTGAAAATTCTATTGTTTTCAACATTGTCTGATAAATCTACTCTGCTTATACAGGGTGTCCCAAAAAGTGTGCTTACTGTTTGATTGTTAACTCTCTTGTAATGAATTCTTTCAGAAAGCTTGTTTCGTAACCTGGCTTTAACCTAGATTTACAGTATTGAGCGAATCACCTGTCACTCATTTTTAAAGTAGGATTACCGTAGATACTTCAAGCATATGGTGTCACTCTGAAAAAGACTGCCATTTCAAAGTTTTTCAAAAAAAGTGAAAGCTGCTTAATAGGGTTCTCGTAGACGCTGAGTTCAATAATCAACTATGTATAAGGTTGCGAAGTTTTCTAAACGGTGCCACCGCACTTTTTAGGAACATTGAAGAAAGGCGCTACTGCTTACCTTGCATAACTTTTCAGTGAAGCATCTCAATAAGGTGCGAATTTCATATTTAAAATCAGCAACTTTGATTAGTCCAGCATAAAAGTTTTCAGGCTATTATTTTGCCTTTCTGAGGCAAAATATGGCCTTCCATGGCTCAAAACCCTCTGTGAGGTTTCTAGCTTAATATTACAGTAATGAAGAGAAGTGGGTGATTCGTTCTGTACTGCAGATCTAAGTTGAAGCTAGCTCTACTGAAGGATTCCTAAAGCTTCTCGAAAGACTTCGTTACACGATTATTAACAATTATTAAAACTACCTCTGGCGCTGTTAATCCAACTCAAATTCTGCTCACTATCCAAATGAGCTTTTGAACAGGTAATACAGTGGACAAGTTTGGATGCTATAATTTCATTTCCTTTCATGTTAGTTTGGTAGTATCAAGACTAAAAACTTTTTTTTTCTTTGAATGATACTTCTATCTGAGTTCGTTTTTATTCGCCATGACTATTGCCCAGATTTTTGACTAGTCGATGGCGCACTTTTGGTGCAATAAATAAATAAATAAATGAAACAGTAGGCACTTTTTTTGGGACACCCTGTAAAATGTAGTAATGACTTGAAATTATCTTAAACACACGCACCCGCTGGCGGCCGTGCGGCTGCCGGCTAGTCCGCTGCCCACGTTTCGGCGTCTGCGGGCCGGTGAGGGCGAGGCCTCTAGGTAGGAAGAATGACGTGTCACAGTGATACTGATGCGTGATATTTCTTTCTCCGCATAGTAGTTTGCGCTTAGCTACTTTGAAAACAAGGAAGCAAATTTACATCGTCAACAAATTAATCGAAACTACATAATACAAATAAAAGCTTGCAAAAGAAACTAGGCACATGTTCATGCAATATAGACATGAGAAGCAAGGCTAGTAGTTTTTTTTATGTATAAGGGGCCATCATAAAAAGCCATGAGTTCGTCACCAAACTTCCGCTCAATTTGAAGCAAAGGTGCGATAAAGGGAGCAGGATCCCCTCCAAGTGAAGGGGGTTTTGGCTATTTCTGATTTAGAAAAGTGAAGGGAGTAAATGGGCGTTGAGGTGAATGCTTTGGAAGGGTCATCCAACAGAGACTTTTTTGGCTCAGGAAAGCTTCATGTTTCATCAGTTGACATACCATTCGAAAGCTTGGAGCATACAAAATCGACGTAGACTCTCTTTTTTTCTTTTTTCCAGCTCTTCTGTGAATTCAGATATAGAAAATCATATCTAGCTCCAGCATCAGCTGATTTTATGCAATCACTTTGAGCGCCAATTCTGAAAGAATTAGGAAAGCTAGGAAAAAAAGAGACGGTCTATGTTTACTGGCAAAGTCTTTTTCTGTAGTAGGATTAGATAACTGCGCACCTTCAATCACTCTTTGCATAAAAATTTTCTTCACAAAAAACACATGTTTAGCTAAAACGTCACGCATCTCTGAGTAGAGGGGAGCTAGAGAATAAGAGGCGGCCTATGCCGAATTCCTTTTTCGAGGACTTTCTAATGGCATATAGGTTGTTGAGTGAAAAAAACTTGTGGCTTTTCAAAAATGAAATGGAGATATTCAATACTAACTTGCTCCACCCCGCTCCGGCTTTCTATGGGTCGCCGGAGCAAGACTTTATATATTTTTTTGGGACTGGGAAAGCTTTGTGCACCAACTTGTATGCCATTCAATAGCTAAGAACACGAGGAATCGACATAGACCGTCTCTTTTTTCCTAGTTTTTCTGTGAAGCGAGATGCGAGCAGTTTTATTTAGCTACAATATCTGCCAATTCTGAATCATTATCTTTTCAAACCAAGAAAGTCTTTTTCGAATTTTTATAAATGATTCGAAAGCTTGAGAAACGAGTTATCTAACTGCTCTTTTATCATGACTTATAATAAGCCGCTAACTTGTCGGTCTGTAAGTCTGTATGTTACGAAATTACGGTGAGGAATGATTTACATTGCTTAAATGCATGTGAGAGTTGCAAAGCAAGTAAGGTTCATTTTTGTAATTCTTTGCGGTTTCTTCCATTAAAAAATGGTGAAGGCCAAAATCATTATGTAAGCTTACCTATACTTTTCATGATGGCCAGTGCGAACCTCTGTGAAGCAGAGGTGAAGCACTGGTATACCATTATCAGAGTGATTTGCATTTTATAGAGAAGAGCCGCATTGATTAAGTATCTTGCCTATCTTACCTATACAATTCTACTAATATGAATTTGTTGCGTTTTACATACATAACAATACTTTATGGAACTTTTTGGAGAAGTTTTAGTAGATGTGTTTAATGCTTCCTAAGAAAACACAGAATGAAAACACTGAAATCCTCAAAGACGATTTTTATTTCAGTATAAGTACATTATGACATCTGCAGAAGAAGAGCAATTAACTGGATTAAGGTAAAATACAAGTTCGTAAAAACTTATTTCTCAATCGTTCCACTTCAGAAGTTCTTACGCTTTTATTAACCTTACCAAAGCCATATGTGGCGTGGGTATATTCGCATTGCCAGTGGCCTATCTCCAGTCTGGGCTGTGGGTAAGCACTTTACTTCATTTTCCTACTGATTTTTTAGAATGAAAATATAACCTTGGTTGACTCAATTATCCGCATACTTAAAGGTCTATGTTTATGGAGCACCTAAGTCGCACTGCTGTATCAGCGATCCGACTTAGTGTCACTGTTACTGTTACTGTCACTGTCACTGTTGCACCACTGTTACTTAGGTGTTGCATCGCTGAGCTGATTGTTCCAAATTTAGTGGATGAAATGATCTGAACTTGGGAAGGCAATAAATGCCAGGTCCTTTCTTGACAAAATGAATATCAATTAGAAGGTCTTGATAAGCTGATTGTGAAATCTTTCGAACCTGCTTACGGCTTACGAGGCGAAGTTACAGGCATTGGTCTGTTCTCAAATAAAGTTAAGCTCGATAACTCAGTTTAGGACCGAAGCAGCCGAGTATCTCAGACCTCTTTCTTGTCATCCTCTCATTTTCGGAGGTGTGCTTCAGACAACTGGGAGTCTAATATCGACCAAATCTTGCACTTACTGCAGTACCATATTGTTTGAAAAGAGCTGAATGATGGCATCTGGAGTCAAAAATGCGGCTAATTTCATACACGAAATGCTTTGCAAGTAGAGAAGGCCATTCCGTAAGCACATCCTAAGGCCTTCTATTGAGTATAATCAATAATAGGGGCCATTTCAAGACTAATACTTTTAATGAAAAAAGGGCCGCGATTTGACCAAAGGGGAATTCGTAGGTTGACGTAAAAATGATTGCATGCTTTGCAGCGCTACTCTTTGGTAACTTGAGTAGCCACAATCTTGACAAACTTACTTTCAAGTGAAGCTCAGCAAAAGCAGTTTGCAACGCAATTTAGCACATACTCAGCTGTGCAGAATCACAAAGGAGCACAAACTTTGAGAAAATAAAAAAGAACACCTTGTTTTTTACTAGTCATGTTTTCCTTCAAGGTTTGTTAGTACGGCAAAAACTAGCTTATCCTGCAAATGCGAACCAGGATACCAGCGCAAATACAAAAAGTTTTAAAGAAAAGACTCGCGAAACAAAAAACTACTTTTGAAATTGCTTGAGCTTTCAAATAGGACGGCATAAAATATGGTCAGTTTCGGATTAATATATTGATGTGCACCCAAGTGACAGCTATACGCAAACTAGTTTAACTTGGTTGATGAAGAGATAATTGATGCATTCTGAACTTACAACAAACAAACACATTTCTTGTCTTTATTTGTCTGTCTCATGTCTTTTTGACTGACACGAGAGAGTAGAAGTAGAAGTGGCCGATCACCACAGGTTGCGTGATACTAGTGGGCTTGGAGCGCTTATTACATATCTGCTTTCCTTGAGCAGATTTGAAGGCAGCAGCAAGTGTCAGGATACTGTATGCAATGATCTGTGCCTAGCGTACCAGCACTTGTTACTGCTCCATTTGACGTTTGAAGAGTCGGTTTCTACTGTCAAAAGTTCATTTTCCAACTTCAGGAGTGCTCATAATTTCTTTCCATAAGTGCACTGCAAATAAGAAAAGCAGATTTGGAGTCAGTGCTTCAAGTTCTCAGTAAAGGTTTGCAGCTTGGTCACCTTCGACTTCGTGACCCTTCCTTGTGTGAGCGAGCAAATCAATAAGCCAAGTTCAACGACTTACAGGGCTTTACAACCTGAGTGTCACAGCCGCCCCGCTCGGCCGCGACGCTTAGGTCCGCGCAGCGTTTGTGGCGCTGGCTGCGCGTCGACTGAAGCTTGGCAAAAGCCCGGGCGATGCGCCGCAAACGCCGCGCACGGCCTGAGCGAAGCGGCCGCGTTGGAGGAGCCGCGCAAGCGGAAGCTGTGACTCTTATGTTGAAAAGCCCTGTACATGGCGTCGTTGGTAGAGTATCCAAAAATCACCTAAAGTCTGCATTACAGGCTGGCATAATACTGACCGTTGTGCTTGCTTTTGTCAATTGGCATAATATGGTAAAGTTAGTGGTGTGCTCTCAGTATCTCAGCAAAAAGTAGGGAGTTTGGTGTTTCAGTCATCAACTACAGCACTCAAAAAAAACTAGCGTGACTTGCAGAAAGCTGGAGAGATCTAGGAGAGAAAAAAGTGAGCACAACAAGTCAAGCAACCAGTCTGCTACGACAGAATCAGTTACGACGAACGAGCCGGAAAAAGTATACAAATCGTTAGAATCCACAACAACGGAATTGGAAAAAGAACACAAAACCGTGAAATCAACATCAACATCCGAGTCGGAAACGTCTCAGTCAACACGAGAAAGGTTGGCAGCATTTTAGTTGTACGAATCACAATATGATTTTGTTATGTAATAGATTGAATTTTAACTTTGTAAACGTTAGATTTTCTAACCAATTGCTTCAGGCGCATCAGTCTTAGTTTTGGAGATATGGCAGAAGAAGCATTTGCCAGTAAGGAAACTAAAACCTTGAGGGACATGGCAAAACCAATCAAGTACGAACTGTATTCAAATGTGTATGCTAGGCCATCTTATAGGTTTATCTTAAATTTGCTTAAACTTTGATCCACGTGAAATTTGTAGCCAAGATCAAAAAAATCATAACTACTCAAAATTTAGACTTTTGTCAAAGAAAACTCTTATGAACTCCAAGCTGACGAATATTCCACAACAGAAACATATGAAGTTTTTCAAGTTTTTTGGCAGCCAGTAATGAAGAAAATGAAACTGGCGAATCAAAGCATGTTTTTTTGCGTAGGAACTTTACACTACAAATCTCTTGAAGTAAGCCATCAATGTTCAGTTTAGCCGAGCGCAGTTCTTTCGGGGATTGCAGACTTGATGAGGAAAGTCAACCTACAGCCACATATCAAGAAAAATTGACAACTCAAAAGATGAGAAACACGAAAGGAACGAGAGATACTTTTTCAAAGTTGGGAAACCTACGTTTAATAAAAAAGCGAGGCTAATTTACAGTTTCTTCATCAACGTCGATTGTTCATGCTGCCACAGTCAAGAATCTTGCCCTAAGGCCCTCATACTGAATGTTTTAAGACAGTTTCAGCACAGTTCTCGCATTGTGCTGGAACTATGCCGGAAATGAGCTGCATACGCTGGAGTCGCCCCATGATGTTTTGAGCGGCGCAGCTTAAAGATTTTTGACCATTTTTAACGTTTTTTCTTGCAGGTTTCTCTCATTTTGGCCTTATTTACTCTTCCCCTTTTAAGGAAAGAACTCCGAACTTGAAGCGGAGTTGAAGAATTGTTCTGCTTTGCGTATTTGGGAAATTGGGTCCTCGTGCGCTCGTCCATTCTCTCTTCGTTATTTTTGTTCAAAATAACTTTAAGTGTTCTAGAAAACTGTCCATGCCCCTCTCAATGCAGATGCGGAACTACCAGCGGCATCCTGGAACACATAAAGTAAATTTCAAACAGAATAACGAAAAGAGAATGGACGAGCGCACAAAAAGCCACCTTCTCGGATAAGCAGAGCAAAACAGCGCTCATTTTCTTCCCCGTTTCAAGTTCAGAGATCTATTCATCAAAAGAGGAAGCGGGTTAGAGGAATAAGGCCATGATGAGAAAAAAATTGAAAGAAAAACTGTTAGTACAGTCCAAAATTTCCAACTCCCGCTGCTTAAAACCGCATGCGGGCGGCTGCAGCGCATGCAGCACAGTTCCGGCACAGGTCGAGCGCAATGCGAGAACTGCGCTAGAGTTGTTGCGGACATCCGGATCAGTATGAACCCAGCCTTAGAACACGAGCTTTAGAAGTCGTTATTTCTTGACGTTTCCGCGCCTTTCATGCCTTCAACGTGTAAAACACGATTCGTTCAAATAGAAAACTGTGCGAAGGAAGTAGTGAATAAAATTTCTTAAAAGGTCCTAAGTTCTCCAAAAGTTTCTGACGCTTTTGAATATATTGTTTTCTAGATGGCGATCTTAGCTCAACCCGAACATATTCACATTGAATATGACTTACCTTAACCTTTTGTATTCGAAATACATTACGATGGAAGGAAGGGAGGGTCCTGCGTTCCTTTTATTTTTCTCAACGCTACAACAAAAACCTAACATCGTACGGTCTCAGTCCAATTTCCGCCTTATCAACGCGGAATGATGAGAGCTATTGTTCTAGCACGAAAAATGGAAAGCGTCTGATACAAACAAAAAAAAAACTGATAGGTTGGACTTTTGCGTTGTTTAGATTTGTCTCAAATGCTTGCATTTTGGGTCTCCAGGTAGGAATCTGCAGTGCTTATTACGTATTTGTTGCTGAGCATTTACAAGAGGTAATACTTCTACGTCGTCCTATAATCCAGAGTGTGGTAGCCAAATTTAGGGTACTAAGTACATCTTTTCGGTGTATGTGTCGCGCAATCTATCGTTTCTAATTCTGCTGCCGTTTTTTATCCTTTTGACATCTGTGCGCAATCTAACGCTTCTATCATGGATTGGCCTAGCAGGAAATATATTGCTTGCAATAGCGATAATCAGTATAGATGTGGTAACAATCCATTCATTTACTTGCGAGCTTGAGCCAGAAAACGCTCACCTAGTTCCTTTAGAAAATGATCTTTATGCCACATATACCTCTCTCTCAATTACCTTCTTTCACATCGATAGAAGGAGCTACTTCGGCTGCGGGTACGCTGATCTATGCTCTGGTCGGACATGCAGTGGTCAGTAATGATATTGAAATAAAAGTAAAAAGCATTTTTTTCTTTTTTAGGTGTTAGCCTTGGAGAACAAGATGCGAAAACCAAAAGACATGTTGGGACCATGTGGGGTCATCTCAGGAGTAGTTATTATGCTATCTATTCTTTACGCTTTTACGGCTGTCCTGGGCTTTATTACTTATGGCGATCGTTTAAGAGGCAGCATCACACTTAATTTGACAAATTCTTGGTGAGTAACTCAAAGTTTTCAAACACATACGCGTTTACATAAAAATTTGTGACTGCACTATCATTACATAGACAATACGATACTGCTACCGGAGGTGCAAGTTGCTGCAGTTATAAATCTTTTTTGATAAAAACAAACACATTTTGATAACATGTTGGCAATTTAGCTGATCAGGTTCACAAATGACAACAGCGGGCACATTTTTGAGGCATTTTCAATTTCGGGTGATTTGATAGGGTAGCTCAGAAATCTGGAAGGGATAAAACCTAACGAAGAGTCCAGAGGTAGGCTGCGTAAATTCCTACATATGAATTCTCTTTGTGGCTGAGTCGCAACCTTCTTATTACCTCGTGCCATAGGTGCGATAAACTGAGAATGACTTCTCCAGGGTGAAGGGGGTCACAGTAGTCGCAGCCCTTTCAGGAAGGGTGTTTCACTTGATCGAGAAATTATAAAATGTCGACCGAAGGGGGGGGAGGAGAGTGTTCTCCATTTTCCCTAATCAACGTTTTATCATCTTTAATTCTCTGCCATCATTTGTTGTCTTTTTTAAATGTGAAAAATGAAGTAGGATTGAAACCATCCTGTTTTCGAAAATAACATAGAATAGAAGATGTGTATGCGAGAACATCTATTTCGGGAAAGAAGTAGACAATTTTTGAGCATTTACGAATTGAAAAAATTCATCTTCTGTAGATGAAGAGCAACATCAGCAAGGAATTTGTTTTCAGAACCTTTTTTCAGAACTTTTACTCCGCTTTCAGAAAATATATAGGTTGTCTGGGTCCCCTTCAAAAAGTGCCTGGCGAAGCGCGTGGGAAGTGATTTCCAAAGATTTACGATCTTTTAGAAAAAAAATCCATAACTTTTGCAGATGAACATCTTGTACGTCGCGGTAGACACCATCGGAACCGCCTTGTCCTCCGCTTTCAGACATTTATAGTTCGCTTGGACCTTGTGGAAAAAGGGCTGGTCAAGGGTATGGGTTGTGATTTCTGGACATTTGCGAGTATTTATGTTAATAAAAAGTCCGTAACTTCTGTAGATGAACAACTTGTACAAGGAAATAGTCACCGTCGGAATTGCCTCGTCCTCCGACTCCGTATATAGCATGTTTGAAATCTTTTTGAAAAATCGCTTAGGTGAAGGGTGTGCCTAGTGATTTTTGGAGATTTCGAGTTTTAACATTAAAAAAATCTTCTTTTGTAGACGAACAGACGGTAGATGGAGATGGTCACCGTTGGAACCGTCTCGTCCTCCGCTTTCAGAAAATAAACACCTTGCCTGGGGTCCGTTAAAAAAAGTGCAGGGTGAAGGGTGGGTAAGACTTTTATAATGGGAGTGCTCAAGTGGGGCTTTTTACCATTGTGAAAAGACGTCTATTAGGCTGTCTCATAATTTACCGTTTTCACTAAAACAGCCGTATTTTTGCATCTTTCCTTCATCTGATGTGACTTGAGTAATCATTCGATAGGGCAAAGCAAGCTCTACAAGATGGTTATTAAAAGTCTGCCCAACTCCTATCCCACGTGAAGTTTTGAGCAGAACTCTGATAGTAGTCGAAAACGAATTTTTCTGTCAAAAATCATATCTGCGCCCCAAATCATCTAAAAATCTCCCCATTTATCCTAGCATGTGCTTGATACATTGCATATTCAATTGTACACTTTCCGAGTTTCTTCCATGGCTAAAAACAAAGAAAAAATGAGTGAGGTAAAATGGCAAACTCCGCCGCTAGACGTCCTGAGCTCCTCTCACGCATGTGATCATATCGCCCATACATACGGAAGTACAATCTTGTGTTGGTGTACTTTGTAGGTGCCTCAGTTCTCGAGAAATGCTAATGTTTATGGTAAAAACGGTAAAAAAAATTATGAGACAGTCTAATACTTGAGCACTCCCATTATAAAAGTCTCACCCACCCTTCACCCGGCACTCTTTTTGAACTGATCTCAGACATGCTATATATTTTCTCAAAGCGGAGGGCGAGATGGTTCCAACGGTGACTATCTCCATCTACTATCTATTCATCTACAAAAGTTATGAATTTTTTATGTTAAAAACTCGAAAATCTCCAAAAATAACAAGGCACACTTTTCACTAGGTACTTCTATGAACGAACTCCCAAACTATTTATTTCCTGAAACCGGAGGGGAACGTTGTTCCATAGAACTTTCCTCGCTGACATTGCTGTGCAACTACAGGAGTACTATTTTTTTCCTTCTGGAAGTTCGTGAATCCCTATAAATCTTCTTTCCTCCTTTCGATACACAAGCAATTCTCGTACAAATATCTCCTTTGCTTAGCCTTACCTCACTGTTAATTTTTTTTTCGGCTTTTGGTGAAAGGGGTCACCTTAGTCCCGGTTCAGGGGTGAAGAGGGGGTGAGCAAATTCTCACGCTACACTATCGCACCTATGCCTCGTGCAGAGCATTCTAAATACGCAAACTTGACAATTTTTTTCTTTAATGGGCCTTCAAACCTCGAATGAGGCCCATTATTAGTGGTTAAGCAATTTCACTCACAGTTGCTTGGCTGCTAGAAGAGATTTTGCAAATCTAGAAGCTTCTTGGTCCCATCGAATGTTTTTGGGGGTGTAGGGCAATTCGCAGGACCGCGATGCTTTCCACACAGGACGCGCGACACATCCTGCGGCGGCTTCGCTAAGCAAAGCAACAGGAGGAGGGTTTTGCGTGACGTGTTAAGACGAGTCAAAATCAGGTGGCGCTTGAGACCGCCAGTGCGAAAAGACGTCCCCCGTTTCGGGACCGCGTACGGTACCCAACTGGCGGCTGGCACATGCTATCGTTCATAAAGTCTTACACCCTGTTTCGAGAAGCAATTCTTATGCCGCACGATTCTTTCGATCAATACGCAGCATGGTGTAGGGTTGTTTGTTTGCGAGGTCCTTTGATGTGTTCGGGCTGGTCGATGTAAGCTAGGACAACTTCGCGGCAAGGTTACCTACATAAGTTATAAAAATGTGCAAATGACTTGTTTATACTTGTAAATAATTGAAATAATTTTTTGAATTTTTCAGAAACTTAACTTCGCCTTATAAAAAAAATTTTCGAAGGCGTGGCCGCCACGCCCCCTCTTTCTGAAATTTCGGGGCGAGAAGACCGAAAAAATCTTGGGAAGCATACCAAAAAAAAATTTTGGAGTGCGTGGCTAACGCGACGCACCTTCATCAAGAAAAAATTTTTACCCCCCCCCCCTCTGCGAGCGGAAATCCTGGGTACGCCACTGCTGTGTGCAATTTATTACTGGGAAAGCTGACGATCCTGCAGGAGGGTATAAATCGATCCCTACCGACGCTTTCAAATATGGATGGTTTACTAATAAGTGGAAGCGAACATAAATTTGAAGCACTTGATGGCGCTTAATAGAATGTGTGAACTCTAGGTGGAAATTAAAAATTGAAACACGCCAAGTAACTAGATGTATTTCACAGACTTGATGTAATAAACAAAAGTGAGCGGGCTGCTGTGGATGCTGCACAAAAGTGGCTCATCACCATTTAACATGTTTGGAAATGTGTGGATAAGAAGTACAATACCACCCGCAATTTGTGAAAAAAATTGGCGGCGGCACTTAACTCACGCGACGCCGCCGCAGTTAGGTGGCAAGCGCCGCGTCGCGCGACAATGTTAGACGGAAAAGCGGCACTTGCCTCCTAACTTTGTCGCGCAACGCCTAACTTTTTTATAAAAAAGACCTTATCTTGATTCAGAATTTATGAATTCTACATATAAGAGTACCATTCAACTCAGCTTGGCGAGGCGCATCTTCCAGTACACAGATGTGCCTAGTTGTGGGATATAGGTTTTTTTCTTGGAATTTTAGTGTAAATGGATCATTCAGTGTGCTGATTCCAGAGGCTACCTACGCATTCTCTTGAGCACTGCAGAAATAGGGTGGGTATAGTTTAAGAGCTCATTTTGCAGTGTAAAACTGTGCTTTTCTAGGCGAAGTATGACGGGTCCCAAAATGCAGGAAGACAAAGGGGAATGGTTGAAAACCGCATGAGAAGCACATATCGTGGAATGCCGCGCGTGCTGTGCAATGTACAATACCACCCACAGAACGGGAATTTCGCGAAATTCCAGAAATTTCGCGATTTCGGAATATCGCAAATTATGCAGCGCCATAACTTCCTTCGGGATGAATATATTCTTAATCCGAAAGCAGCATTGTGTTCAGCTCGTCAAGGCGAATCTTTCGACATACTTAATCTCATCTATATCTCGTTTCCAGTTTTCTCAAATCTTTCTGAGGTCCCTGCGCAAGTATGTAACGCAGCGCCTATCCAACATAAAAGATTCTAGTAAGTACCATTTGATAGTGCTCTTCTTGCACATTATAGTGCGCTGGAAAGCTGCCGCAGACTTCTTTCCAAAAGAGAAAGAAGTGTTGGTAGATTCTGAAAACATCACTCGTTTCCAGATTCTACTCGCCGTAACCTTCTTTGGAGTGGAAATTTTCTGAATCCGAAAAAAGCATTGTGCTCAGCTCATCAAGGCGAATCTTTCGGTGTGCAGAATGTCCTTGATATCTCGATTTCAGTATTCTTGAAACTTTCTGCGGAAGTCTCTTCGTGAAGGTGTAAAGCAGCGCGTATTGCCCCCAGTAGATTCAGAAAGAATTTGGTAGTACTTCTTCTGTAGATTATGGGGCGCTAGAAATTAGCCGCACACTTCTTTCCAAAGGGGTTAGAAGGGCTGGTGAATCCTGGAAAAATCATGTTGTTTTAAATTTTTCTCAACGTAACTCTAAAATATGAAGCTCTCTTGCTAAGCAGATGTGATTTTCGTAATCAGCAAGTCGGATAACCCTTATGAGCAAGTTTTCCAAGATGTTCGAGTAATTTCATTTTTTCTCGTCTTACGCTCTTGAAGCTGGTCGATGGATTTTGGTCAAAATGTTCATGCTCTTAAATTGTAAGGAAACTTCGCTCATAGAGGTTTTCGAACACGCTCTTTACGAAAATCAAGGACTTTGAGGATTACAGGGTCTTTTTGTTGAGATACGGTGAGGTGACTGTAAGTGAATAACGAAAGTGCGTAACTTTGCCCACACTTCTCGCGTATCTGTCAAAGAACTTGCTTGTTTGCTTGTCCAAGTCAAAGTTAGTAGGGACAGTGCCATCGAATGGTGCATGCCTCAGACTCCACTCTACAGAAGTCGCGAGTTACGAGCCTACGAAAACACATCCTCATGAATTTTGCTCAAAATGTAAAGATCGCATATTTCGTCGAACTTTCGCCGTGAGTGCTTGTGCAACACGTTGATCAAATCTTTTCACATCGTTAACGAATCTTATTGTGTTAGATTTGGTAGTTTGAGTTCTACCCACCGAAATAGCTTTGATATTTAACTGAGCAGCTGAAGCACACGCAAGCACAATAATCAATACAGTGGGAGCCTTTGGGCGAAGCGAACACAAGCAATACGAGTGCCATACAAGTACTCACGGTGGAAGTTCGACGAAATATGCGATCTTTACATTTTGGGCAAAATTCATGAGGATGTGTTTTCGTAGGCTCGTAACTCGGCGATTTCTGTAGAGTGGAGTCTGAGGCATGCACCATTCGATGGCACAGTCCCTACTAACTTTGACTTGGACAAGCAAGCAAGCAAGCAAGTTCTTTGACAGATACGCGAGAAGTGTGGGCAAAGTTACGCACTTTCGTAATTCACTTACAGTCACCTCACCGTATCTCACCAAAAAGACCCTGTAATCCTCAAAGACCTTGATTTTCGTAAAGAGCGTGTTCGAAAACCTCTATGAGCGAAGTTTCCTTACAATTTAAGAGTATGAACATTTTGACCAAAATCCATCGACCAGCTTCAAGAACGTAAGACGAGAAAAAACGAAATTACTCGAACATCTTCGAAAACTTGCTCATAAGGGTTATCCGACTTGCTGATTACGAAAATCACATCTGCTTAGCAAGAGAGCTTCATATTTTAGAGTTACGTTGAGAAAAATTTAAAACGACATGATTTTTCCAGGATTCACCAGCCCTTCTAACCCCTTTGGAAAGAAGTGTGCGGCTAATTTTTAGCGCCCCATAATCTACAGAAGAAGTACTATCGAATTCTTTCTGAATCTACTGGGGGCAATACGCGCTGCTTTACACCTTCACGAAGAGACGTACGCAGAAAGTTTCAAGAATACTGAAATCGAGATATCAAGGACATTCTGCATACCGAAAGATTCGCCTTGATGAGCTAAGCACAATGCTTTTTTCGGATTCAGAAAATTTCCACTCCAAAGAAGGTTACGGCGAGTAGAATCTGGAAACGAGTGATGTTTTCAGAATTTACCAACGCTTCTTTCTCTTTTGGAAAGAAGTCTGCAGCAGCTTTCTAGCGCACTATAATGTGCAAGAAGAGCACTATCGAATGGTACTTACTAGAATCTTTTATGCTGGATAGGCGGCGCTGTTCGCGAAATTCCTGGAATTGCGTGAAATTCCCGTTCTGTGGGTGGTATTGTACATTGCACAGCACGCGCGGCATTCCACGATATGTGCTTCTCATGCGATTTTCAACCATTCCCCTTTGTCTTCCTGCATTTTGAGACCCGTCATACTTCGCCGAGAAAAGCACAGTTCTACACATATCCGTGCAGAATGAGCTCTCAAACTATACCCACCCTATTTCTGCAGTGCTCAACAGAGTGTGTAGGTATAGGCCGTCCGCGCAGGGCGCGGAGAGTGCGCAAGGTGTGTATTGCGCGTCACTCCTCTTTCCCCGTGCACTCTCGCCGCCTGTTTTTCTCTGCGCTTCTTCTATCTTCGACGGACGCAACAGCGTTGCTCTCCGCGCGCAGCGCGGACGGCCCGTAGCCTCTGGAATCAGCACACTGAATGATCCATTTCTAAAATTCCAAGAAAAAAACCTATATCCCACAACTAGGCACATCTGTATACTGGAAGATGCGCTTCGCCGAGCTGAGTTGAATGGTACTCTTAGGTCCCGGGCAGACTTCACGCGATTTGATCGTCGCGACTGAGTCGCGACGAGACAACTGTTACAACATCATTCCATGCTGATCAACTTGCATTCGGTTGTGATACTTTTCCAGCCCGACATTTTTGAATGTGAAATGAAAATGAATGGAAATCTTGGCGATTAGATCGCGACGATTAAGTCGCGTGAAGTCTGACCGGGGCCTTATATGTAGAATTCATAAATTCTGAATCAAGATAAGGTCTTTTTTATAAGAAAAAGTTAGGCGTTGCGCGACAAAGTTAGGCGGCAAGTGCCGCTTTTCCGCCTAACTTTGTCGCGCGACGCGGCGCTTGCCACCTAACTGCGGCGGCGCCGCGTGAGTTAAGTGCCGCCGCCAATTTTTTTCACAAATTACGGGTGGTATTGTAGCCATTGGCTGCTACAGCGACCGGACTTTTTCAGGTTTGACTTCACGATTAAGATGTCGCTTATGCTCATGACTTATTGCGGTTATCTAATCCAACATTATCCTGTTGTCGAGACTCTTTGGCCCTTTGCACAAGCTTATTTCGAGAAAATCAACAAACTGCTTTTGAATTATGCTTTGCGATATGCAGTAGTCTTGCTGTCATGTGAGTGTCATTGTTTCTGCAAGTTCCAGTGCTGAAATACTTTCATTGCAGTTGCTCTCGCATGCCTCATACCGAATCTGGAAAATATTATCCCATTTGTAGGCGTTACTTGTGGAATGATGATAACCTTGATATTTCCTGCATTGATCGAAGCAGTTGCGTTCAGCGACCAATGGAGGAGAAAAAGCTTTATGACGCTCTTTTTCAAAGTTGCCGTTGACGTTTTGTATATTATTCTCGGCTTAGTTTTCATGGTTGTAGGCCTGTTTTCTCGCTTAATAGAAACACATGAATAAACCACTCTTAAGTGAATAAAACTACTTGTGATCTCTTGTTAACACTTCCTGATATAGTTGAACGAACCAAAGGCGGATAAAAAAATTTTGGGGAGGGAAGTGCGAAAAAAGATTTCTTTGAAAGGATTTGCGTTGATAGTTCCTCAGTGTTCTGCATTGCCCAAGTCGCTTTCAACTATCATGCTCAACATCCATATGGATCCTGAGGGCAGCGTTTTGGCAAAGTGGGTGGTGCTAGTTTGTACAGGTTGCTATTAACATAATAAAGTTTAGGGCTGGAAGCGCTTTAACAAAGCCTAGATGTTGTTTTAAATATGCTCCGCACCCTTCTATGTATGTTTTGTACAGGCCCCCTCCGCAATTTCAAATTGCGTGCTAGAGCATCCATATCGCACAAAGTTATGACCATTTGGTCCCACAACAACCCTGAATCTCTAATCTCCTCCTCATTTCCAAAATCAGGTCCATGCTTTTCCTTGGAATCATTGGGAGTATCAGCCCGGATGAATGGGAAAGCTTCAGTTTGAAGTCTTGCCGGGGAGCTGCCTCCAATGAATTTTAGAGAATTAGCTGGCAGTGTCTGCTCACCCTCACTCAGATAATCGCCGGGGGCAGGCGGTCCGCAAACTCGCGCTTTTCTGCAGGCGGTCAGCAGAATTTTGGGGCGTGGCCAAACCTTCAGTGGGCGGTACTTCCGCGTTCTGCCAGCGGGCAGCAATACAGAATTTTCTGCGAGCGCTCGTCAAATAATATCTTCCAGCGAGCGCTGGCCAAACTTTCAGCAAGCGCTCGGACTCTTATAAGGTATTTTCGGGCGTACGTCGAGCGCAGGTAAGACTCTGTGTGGCAGAGTTGTCACCGTTGGTTTAATTACTCAAGTTTGAGGTACTTTCTCTCAGCGGAAAGTACCTGGGGGTTGCGCGGTCCTCCACAAAGGAACGTGCGGCCATCGAAATTTTTGCATATTCTCGCGGAAAGTCCGCGAGAATGCGGCCACTGCGCCGCAGCTAATCCATAAAAAAACCGCGATTGTTCTTCAAGCATTCGTCTTTGATTTTGCCAACTTTCTTCCAAATTTCTGCAAGCGGGCCGCAAAAAATCAACGAACTATTTTTCCGGTGCGCGCTTGCTCAAAATTCGCCTGCCCCCGGCGGTTATCTGAGCCGTTGTAGCCACAAGTTTTTGACTTGCTTGCCTTCAATTACAAAATGGACCAACTACTTCCGGGAAGCCTCGTCAATTTTGACGCAAACGCAGGCTTATAGCCGCTCCTTACTGTAGCAATCTCAGAGTCTATTCTTGGGAGCGTAATGGCTCATGATAGGCAGTATTAGTTCCGACTTTATCATCAAGTCATCGATTCAACATTCAAAACATTAGTAGATCTAGCTTTGATTAGCTACGAATGTTACTTTGTTATAAATGGTAGTTTCCCCTCTTTAGAGTCAAGGTAAACATGTTTGAGATTGACGCTCCGGAAAACACTAGAAATTGTTGCAGTTGATAATTTTTTAGATTCATAGAGGCATTTAGCCATACTAATTACCAAAATTACATTCATCTCAAAGGTAAAGCCTGTTTGACAAGCTTAAAGGCAGTGTCTCGGCAAAACTCAACAACTCAGGATTTCAACGCGGTGGGTTCCTTGTCGCCCAAGTTTGAAAACTGCCTTCCCTGCTCTCAAATTACACGCGCAGGCTAATCTTATACGCATCCGGACGAGTTGGCAAATTCCTTTCCAACATTGGAGGCTGCCCGCCGCAATGCTACAACCATTGGGTCCTGCAACGATTCAACGGCATCAGCCCTAATCCACTGGTCCAATTCCAAAAAGAAGGGCATTGAAAAACGCTCGTTTTTGCCGTTTTCAATCTCGTGCATTTTCGGGATCAACGTATTGAAAAACCCCAGGTAAGCGAAAATTTCACTAGGTTGAGATTTGCCGAGCCACTGCCTTTAAGATAGTTGCAAAGATCAACATTTACTCAGATAATCGCCGGGGGCAAGCGGCCATGCGAATTTTGAGCAAGCGGGCACCGGAAAAATAGTTCGCTGATTTTTTGTGGTCCGCTTGCAGAAATTTGGAATAATTTTGGCCAATTTTTAGACGAACGCTCGAAGATCTATCGCGGTTTTTCTATACATAAGTTGCGGCACAGTGGCCGCATTCTCGCGGATTTTGCGCGAGAACATGCAAAATTATTGAGAGCCGCACGGTCCTTTTTGAAGGACCGCACAGCCCTCAGGTACTTTCCGCTGAAAGAAAGTACCCCAAACTTGGGTAATAAAACCATCGATGGCACCTCTGCCACATAGAGTCTCATCTTTTCTCGGCGTACGCCCGAAACTGCGTAAAAAGAGTCTGAGCGCCTGCTGAAAGTTTGGCCAGCGCTCGCTGAAAGAGATTGTTTGACGAGCGCTTGCAGAAAATTTTGTATTGATGCCCGCTTGCAGAAAACGCAAATACCGCCCGCTGAAGATTTGGCCACGCCCCGAAATCCTGCTGACCGCCTGCAGAAAAGCGCGAGTTTGCGGACCGCCTGCCCCCGGCGATTATCTGAGTATTTGCTGAAATCATTTGGAACTTACTTGATACTAACTAGTACACCTAAATCCACATAGGCCACGGCCTCATTTCCCTTGCAAACTCGCATTGGGATCCAACAAAAATAAAATTTCTGCTCTCCTTCTTGCCGCTCCTTAACTACACCTCTAAGCTTCAGCTTCTGCTTTCCTCACCGACTCGCTCTCTTTATCTACCACCTCTGCTCCAGAAGTTTATCCATTACTGCAAGGAAGTGGTCCTGTGGCAGCATGGCTTACCTTTAAAATGGCCTTTCTGAGTCGCCTCCTTCTTGAAACTACAAAATAGAGATGAACTCTACTGGTATATAAAAAAGTGTGAAAATTGCCTGTCAACTGATAAGAACTCATTTTCAATGTAATACGTCACAAATCAAGAAATTTGTAAAAAGGATCAATGAATCGAGTGAAAAGTAGCCTATTCTTCTCCTGATTCAAAAAATCAGCGTGCGAAGTTTTACCTCAATCCGTTTACGTAGAATGAAGTCTAGAAAACACAAGATTTACCCTGGTCAAATTTTGAGATTTTTCATATATAGGCGCCGTTCACAATACCCGTATTCACTCTTTGAGAAAATGACATTAACCGTTTTAGTGCATGTCATCTTTGCTTTACTCGATTTTAGCAGAACGATGGCGTTCGCTGGATCACACTCTGATGTAAGAATAGCTATTTCTCAGTTTATGTTCCTTTGCTTTCTTGTCTATAAAAAGTTTGCACGACCTGTCATCATGCATACGAAACCTCTGTAGTTTATATAATAAAAGCCACTTTGAACTTTCGAAAATGTCAACACATTAACTCACATGCAGATACGCTTCACCCCATATTCTCGCCTCATAATATAGCTACGAGACTCACAAGGGAAGCTTTTCCAGTCGAAGTGGCCTGTCCAACGGGACCGCAAGATTTGATACCATCGAAAGATAATCCCAATCGTATTTGTGCTACCTGTCAGGCTCCTGGACCGCGAGACATGAGAGCTCATGGGTTGAAAAACTGAATGCGCAACACAGATCATTCAAAACTGCTCAGACGAATCAGTGTAGATATAAGAGCAGCACCCTATGCGATGGAGTGTGTTTGATACACTTCATACTCAACAACTGCCCTATTTGAACGCTAAAGGAACCATTGCTAATCTTGCCTTCAGTCAATGATATTGTCAGAACAGCAAGATGGACGGTAATGCGCTAGAGCTGTGGTACTAATAATAAGATAATCTTTGAAACTGGAGCTCGGAAATGCGAGGCTTGCAGTATGTGATAATATACAAAAATAGTTCTAAACCAACTAAACCAACAAGGAGCGCCGTTTCACTCTTGATTAAAAAGATGGGAGCTGTTGAGACTAGGTTACTTGGCAAGGATCAAAAATTCCTATTTTTATCTGCGAAATTTCCGGGCTCATGCGAGAATGAAAATTAATCTACAAGTGACAAATGATATATCCATTATTGTACTTGTAAAAGTAAAGCAAGAGCAAACAGATCATCGGTCATACAGCATTTTTCGGCTGCTACAAGCGAAAACAGTAAATTATAAAAAGTCGGCAAAGATTCGTGAGCGCAGGAGATTACATAATGCTTTTTGCTTCGCTCATAAGAATTTTCGTACAGTAATGACTGCTCTAGAAGTTTACTATAGTCTGTGGAATATGGGCCATAATAGTGGCAACAAATAGATCTGCCTAACTATATTTGAGCATTACTGCGTCAAAATAGACTGTTTTAATGAAAAGTTTGCGCACTCATTTATCTCTTAGCTACTTCCTTGCTAGCCTTTTTACGTGTCTGCTCTCCTTATGAAGGCGGAAACTTGCCTAAGCCAGCAAAATTTAGTAAAGCCATCGAAATTTTTGGAAATGTTTATTTTGAAACAAGGAAGTTATAACAGCTTAAATCAGAAAATCCAACAGAACTTCCGCAAGAACCTAGCCTGAAGCCTTCGATTGTTGTACGAATCAGTGTTCTTCTATACATGATAAGCGTTTCAAATTGAAGCTTTATGAAACCAGTTTCGCTAGCTTATGAAAGAACCATTCATATCTTCCGCAGTGTCTGTAAGCGCACATTCTGACAATAAATACGGCTATAGATACGTTCTCTGACTCACTGAACGAACTAATAGTATAAGACTGACTAATAATCTGGCGATCGAAATAAAACTGTGCAACATATCTTAGGCCTAGTGGGTGTACGGTCTGAAAGCTCAACAGCATGTTTTTTGTAATGTTGCTAGTAATAAAACGCTATGAGTATTTGGTATAGATTACCAAAAAGATACAAAATTCACAACAATCTTTAGTTTCTGTTTTCAACGCTATCCGCACCCCCATGTTTCGCTGAAAATCTCAGGGAACATTTAAACCTAGCCTAATTAATTCACACAAAAGTGTGTTTCTATGCAAAAATCTGCGATCACACGTAAATCCTTCTTGTGACGATCTCAACAGTACACCTTGGTACATCTGAAATATTATGGATACATTTTTGCTTTTTTCGAGTTAATAGGTTAGAAAGAGATTTCTTGGAGATTGCAGTTGGAAAAAGTTTTTGTTTCGATATAAGCACCGATTGGAGCATGCTGCATACCGTTCAATAGAAGCAAGCAATCTCTACAGAAAATATGTTGAGCTCTATGATAATTCAAGCGAAATCTCCAACTTCTATAAGCGTTATAGAACCCCCACATGCTCCAATCAATAGTATACACATACTTACACAATTACATGCAAGGAAAGAAAAAACAAGAAAAACAAGGTAGTTTAGAAGTGGCAAATTTCGCCCCTGGTTCTAAATTAGGGTCAGGTACAGATCGTATGGAAACGAGCTTAACGTTTGGGGCGAAAAAGCAAAGGGGATATCGTTTTTGGTAGTCAAAAAAACGCAAAAAATTGCGACGTTTTTCTAGTCGACATCTCGTTTTTGAGGGTTTTTTACAGATATGGTTTGGGGTCATAGGGGACTTCGTAAATTTTGGCGAAAGTCAGGGGGAACTTCGTTTTCAAAAGCCTAGATATGAACTCATGGGGCCCTGTTCTACACTCCTCCCCCTTGCTTGCATACTAGTTACATGCAAACCAGTTTACAGCTACAACTATTCGCGCATGTACATATTGAATTTCGAGAGATAACAGATTTAGTCTGAAAATGTTCTAAAACTTTTTTTACCAACCTATTCAATCTATAGACGTTGCAAAATATGCCAAGCCTGAGCAGAGATCTCTAAACCTTGATTATTGTACATGGCGCAGCAATCTCCAAAAATTCGCTATATTTATTCGCAATTAATTTATTCGCTGAGACAGTTTCTAAGAGCAGGCTAATAAATTGGGCGGAAGTATGAGCATTGCTTTCGCCGACGCTAGTGCAATGCCGGGTACCGTCGGTATTCTGGTACGAATTGTTCGACGTTGCATCCGTGTCTGATTCAACTACTATCGCAATTGTGCATTTCCAACATCGACGACATTCCGACTATAAATACGCTCAGAATACCTGAAGTGAACGATATTAATCATGTCACTGGAGTTCCATAAGATCTTACCCTTAGCCGCTATATGCTTAGTAATTGCCAATATAGGTAAGCTATTTGCACCATAATTTTTTGGCAAAGAAAAGCTATTAACTTCGAAAATAGGCCTACGTTGTGGTTTGAGTATTTTTAGCATTATTTTTGGTGTTGATATTTTATTTCAAAGGAGTTATTGTTACTCTAATTCCACTCGTACAAGGCGCACCTTTTTTGATTTTTTAAGCTAACCGCTCAGCCTCTTCACTCTATTTCCGGAAGCGATCCTTATGCCGCACGATTCTCTTAACCCATTTATAACCGGTATAGGCTTTTTTTGATTGAGCAGTCCTTTGGCGTTTATGCTGAACAATTTAAAGAAAAGATCCCCTGCGCCTTGCACGCGTGAAATTAGGGTAACATTCTTTGTCACTATCTAGCCAGAATTCGCTTAGAGATTTACTGCCAATTTCGTTTTGCTTCAGTTATAGATCAACAACTTTTGAGAAACGAGGCCCTCAAAAAGTGCTAAAAAAATTAATTAGATCTTTTTTCTTCAGTTCATGCGAGTATATTCGGGGAGCCAAGACCGCCTGGCACCACATTGGCTTACCTACGATGGCCATCTTCATTTGGCGAACCACGATATACAGCTTTACCCAAACCCCATCCACTTTTTCACGCACGAATTGTAAAACCAATTGGCATCCCTATTGGACAAACCGTGAGCAATTTATTTTTAGATAATTGGCTACAAAAAAAATTCTTCTTTAGAGTCTGTTGTGCAGAAAATGCAGTTGCTGTACTCTTGGGCCTTTCGGGTCGATAATACGAGGAGGCAAAGGTAAGGTTAAGCGTGCTATGCGGTGACTAACCAAAAATTTTCAGACTGCTGCGACGACTGCCGCAGGTGCTATGGAAAATTTCCTGAAGGCTATCCACCTCCGCTTCCCCAACCTCCTCCTGTGCAACCACCAATCATACCGTTGCCACAGCCGCCTATACCACCAAAGCCCTTTCCGCCGCTTACTCCCCTTCCCTCTGGACCTCCAGCTTCTCCACTACCACCAGTTACTTACCCACCTATCTCTCCACTACCACCAATTACCTACCCACCTATCACTTATCCACCAACATCAGGTTCATATATAACTCCCTCTATTCCACCGGCTCCACCTCCACCTCCGCCTCCGCCTCCACCTCCACCGCCACCGCCACCACCACCGCCACCAACAGTACCACCACTACCGCCTCCGCCACCGCCTCCTCCTCCTCCTCCTCCTCCTAGTCCACCGCCTCCAATCTTGCCACCTCCTCCCCCACCAGCTCCCCCTCCATCTCCTCCAATTCCTCCACCATCTCCTCCGGCAGGGTATATCACTAGTGCTTTGCCTCCACCTCTTCCTCCAACTCCGTTGCCCTTGCCTAGTCCACCACCACCTTCACCCGGCTACATCACCAAACCTTCAGTGCCGTTCTATCCAACAGGACCACAGCCGTCTGGATACCTCACACCTCCGTCTTTGCCGCCTTGTGCACCAGGGAAATGGTCAGAGTGTTGTTTTACTGCATATTGTCATGGCTGAAGATGTGATTGTTAATAAAATCGAGCATTGCATTGCATTCATACATTGTACCGCTTTTGACAGCGTTGGGAATTTTAATTTTCCAGTTACATTTTTAGTGAATGCCATAAGATAACAGAATGGCCAGATCGCTGTCAGTGGCGATTCAAGGTATGCTTGCAAATGTATTTGAAGTTAGAACGAGAGAAACCAAGATCACTCAGTCGTTTTTATACATTAGCACACATATAGCGTGGAAATATAAGGTATGGACATGAAATTGGGACATGTAAAAAGGTTTAAAAAATTGTTGTAGTGAGGAGCTTACGCTAGACTACTAGCACGCTGTACATGTAGAGCTTGAACAAGTTTTCGATAAGGAACACTCATACAGGCTGTCTCAGTGTAAATGACAAAGCTCAGGGACTAGTTTTCGTGACCGCCTCGCTCAGCTTGCCACGTTAATTAATGTAGCCTTCGGACTTTTCCCACCACCCTTCAATCTCTCCTGCAGCCGTGAAATTATGAGGATATGTTCGCAAAAGCGGAGGACATGAGCAAGGCGGTCGCGACGACCCAGCCGCTGATGCTTTGACAGTCACAATGAAACAGCATAAGCAACGTAATTGATATGCTATCTTTATGCAGTCCAAATCTGTCACAAACAGGACTCGTCACGAAGTGGCTTTCCGAAAATGCAAAGATAAACCATTAACTTTCAAACCTATTGACTTTCCCGCAATTTTACTGTCCCGTTTGACCCTATTCCAACTTGAAAAACGAAACGTCGCCTACAAAAAAATCTTCTTGCTTTTTGTCCCAAAAACGATATCCAGCTTGCTTATAAGCCACCTGTGCCGAGCCGTAGTCATGAAGTGCTTGAGCAAAAAAGTCATGTGAATACTGCTATTTCTTCTTTCAGCGCTACGCAATCATCAACACCTTTGTCGTTCTGGTAAGTTGATCTCGCAAATCAAGCTTGCTCCCTTTCATTCGATTTTCGCCATCGTTTACAGAAATGACATATTTTAGCCTTCCGGCATATCAACACCCGTGGTGGGTCATCTCAGTCAAATCAAGATATTTGTGCTAATGATGTTGGATTGATTGCAGTTACATGCGTTTCTCGTCAAACGATGGGCCAAGTTCGCTTGTCCTGCCAACATGGTGAGAAGCTCTTTTGTAAGAAAGCGAAGAAAAATGCTGAATTTCTTTGCATTTCTTTGCATTTTTCTGCATGCAAAATGAAGTTGCAGCTTAATAACTCAATCTAATTTATTCGTGTGAGCGATGGAAAAGCTACGTTGTGGAAACAGGTTTTAAAAGTCTTTTTTTCGTCTCGGCACCTGCGATGTTTTGCGATATTTTGTAGCTGTTCTTTGCTTCTCTCTTTGGATTTTTTTTTTCATATACGCTTCAAATGCAATTTGAGCTTCCTTTTATCACGTGGAATGGTTTGGATATTGCGCTGCAAAACTAGCTTCGTCAGAAAACAACAACGATAATACAAATGCCGAGAATTTGGAAATGTGTTAATAGAAACAGTAGAAATTTCCAAAAACTTTGGAATCATTTTGCCCCATTCTTGCCCATTCACACCCATTATTTCTGCTTTTTTATCGATGACAAATTTAATTTCACGTTTCAGCATTCCTGTGTCAAGCTCCATGTCTTCGATATGGTAAGTTCCTTTAGCTTGATTCGTAGAAATTGATAGAAGTGATATCCCAGCTTCGCTCGGTCTCTTAATTCAAGGTAGAGCTCCTCTTAACCCACAAAGTTTACTTCCCCCACTGCTAAAAGCAATCAGCCGACCGTATTTTCACTGACTCTGACAACCTGGAAGCTCTCCACGCAAAAGGTAGAAGCTGCTACTCGTAAGCAGAAAAATCGCTTACCTGTACATCAACTCACATCCCTGCTTTGTTTGCAACATAGATTCGATAAGGGCAACGACGGAAGATATAGGCGCCGTAAAAACCTAATTGCCTTCGCCGTGCCTTGAACACCAGCGTCCTCACGAACGACTGTCGGCGTTCACTATATTCCAAGAAATCTTTCTTTAACTTTCATGTTGTTCTCGTCAATGCAAGGTTTATCTTGACGAAAGCTCCCTTCAAAAGTTCAAACAAATATGTGTGGAAAGGATGCGCGCTCATTGTCGCTCGCTAAAAGCCTGTAGCGCTTCGGGACCAAAGTTTCCAGCCGCACCGCGCGTTAGTGTTCAAAGCGCCGCGTGGGCAATTGGATTTTACAGGGCCTGTAGATACTGCATCCGTAGTCTGAGCGCATATTCTCTCATGAACTTGAATGCGTGAAATCGCCCGGGTCGATGTGGGCTGAATGCATGCGAGCGTGAATGCAACGCGGCTGCCCAGTACGAGCGATGAAATGACTCATGCGCGCGAGTGTCAATGTTCCCGCAAAAGACGCTCGCGTGCGGGTCAACTATACCAACTCCTAGACGCCAGCTTAGCAGGGCCCGGCACGAGGTGGGCAAATGACAGGCTGGAAATCGTTTTTAAAAAAGAAAAGGGGCTATCGTTTTTGCAGGGTCCATAAACTACCTTTTTTCGGGGCTCCGCCCCCGGAAAAAATGGCAGTATGTGCTCTCTTCTTGTCTTAACATGTTAATATAGTCGAATCATTTCATATGATCATGTGTGTTACTGCACACACTGTCGATCTTTCGCGTCCCCATCCTGGAATTGCAATCGCGAAAACGTAAGAGAGCGACCGATTGTTTCTGCTTACATCATCACTTTGTGAAGATTAGTACCTAAAAAGGAGAAAAAGCATGAAGAAAACATCGGAAACACTTAACACAAGGGCTATCTATTCTAAAATCCAGAATAAGGACGCCAAAGATGGACAATATGTGCAAAGACACACATGATTATATGAAATGATTCGATTGTACGTGCCTCAACAGGCGCGCAGTGGAGTTGGCGCGCGTCAAACCGCGGCGCCGCTGACTGTCGCACGCGCAACGTCGGTTAACTAATGCCTTTTGGAAAAACATACATGACTAGTTCTCAGTGCATGCGTATTTATATACTACCAAATCTCGTAAGCGAAGGAACAGAGGCTGGTGGAAGCAAAGTATGAAAAAATATGGAAAACTCATGTGAATGGTAGGTGTACTAAGCTTCTTTTCCAAAAATTTCCCATAACTGGTGAACGTAGTTGTGAATTCGAATGGCTTGTTTGCGAAGCATAGGCGACGATATGGCATGAAAATTGGTAGTTACATGGACACGGCCCAGGAGTTAACTGAGAAGTTTCATCGAAAAATTATGTGACTGAAGGTTGATGCAAGCATTTTTCTGAAAATTTCCCGCAACTAAAAATGCAAAAATGGCTCGTTTGCAACGCACAGATGACGAAATCGCGCGAGATTTGGTGTGTACACGCGGGGTGTAGGGCGTTAGGCGACAAACCCGATTTTTTGGAACTCAAGTAACTCCCCGTGCAAAACTTCTCCTCCGCCAAAAACAGGGGGTGGGGGTCGGGGCCGATACATTACTCGACGCCGTCAAAAAAAATTGCACATAGTTTTGACTTACGGGCTTTACGTTGATTGCGTTCTGCACGTTTTGTCGCCTAACGCTTGCCCTCCGTACACGCGCAGTAGGACTAAGAAACAAAGTATAAAAATTTATGAAAAACTTATGTGGATGAAGAGCGTGCCCAACTTTTTTCCAAATCAGGTGGGCCATTGCCCACTTAAAGCCCACCTGAGGTAGGCAAAACTTTCAATTCACAGAAGTTCTTCAAAATTTTCACATAAATATGTTGTACACATAAGTTTTACTATATGGTAGGATTTTGGTTCCGAAACTCCTCTTGTCTTCGTTAGAGCCCAAAATCGCATCAGCAGTCCAGCTTTTTAAGAAGGAAAACGCGCTCCAGTCAATCAATACGCGGGAACGGCATCTCTGTAATTAACTGAGAGAGCGTTACTTTGATATTTCTTCACTCCTTCATCACTTTTCTTGCTTATTCTTCTTCCTGTTTGCTATCTTAATGAAGGTGAAGAATAATTAGAAGAATTTGAGAGTTTTTGGGCTCTTTTGAGCGCTTTTGCGAAGTGTGGCCGGTGCTCTCATTGCACAAGCACAAAGCATCGTTTCAAGGGGGTATTCGTAAAAAATCTTGGGATCAAAGGGGACTTCGTTCTGGAAAACCCCATTGCCCCACCTCGTGCCGGGCCCTGCAGCTTAGAAGTTGTTGAAAGGTTAAGCACGCCATCCCACAATTTTCGCCAGCATCCATGCTCCTGAGCGGCAAGCACTCAAACTCTGCAAACACTCAGTTGATCATCGCATCCTGCCCTGTCAGGATAAGGATTAGCTAGGCTCTTACCTGAGTGTGTAGCTGTATTACATAAGAGTATATTATTTTATTTATTGCATATACATAGATAAGGTAGAGGGGGAAAGGGAGGGAAGCAGCTAAGCTGCAATGAGTAGAGGAGACTGTCCTGCCAGCTGTCGGCACGATCTTAAATACGTGGCCAGGGCTTGGCAAGTGGACAGTAGGTGCATGCTTCCGTTGGCAAGGTCATACAGCTATAAGATCACACATGAGGTATTCTTCAACTATACGATTGGGCTTAGGCTACATCCTGATAGCCCATTTTCCTTGTAAACAAAACCGATCGAAGTAAATTGCCCAAAAAGTAGCTAGTGGTAACTCGGATGTAAACATACATGGGCAAAGTTTCACTCAATCAGTACATGCACAAAGAAGTCCGTAAAAATATACAGACCGCGCGCATATACGATGTTTCTGTTTTACATTCATAGAGAATCAGCAGAGGATAAAAGTCCCAGAATTTGTTTTTGGGATGGGGGGGGGGGCACAAAAGTTTTTTGTTTTAAGACGCGGCTTTGGCCATGGTCTCAAAATTTTGAAACATTTTTACACTTTTAGGCTCGTATGCATTAACATCCCTGCCGCGTCCCTATGTTGGAAAAAGCCG